GCGATTTTTATCGGGCCGGGTTACCCTTGGGCCTGCGACCTTTACGTGACAGATAGCACGAGAGAGAGGGACACAGAGAGAGAGAGAGAGAGGGAGAGAGCGAGAGAGAGAGAGAGAGAGAGAGATACATATATACATATAGATAGATAGATATATATATATATATGTGTGTACATGCGTATATGTAGATGTGTATATCAAAGGGCACAGGAGTGGGGGCAGCTAGCTTTTATATTGCCGTACTACCCCGCAGATAAGCATGGGGGACCGAAAAACCATCCAATCTTAGGGGAGTCACCTTCCGCTTTTGAGTCCTATATTTTCAGGGGAGGGTCACCCCCCTTTGTTTTGCAAGTTTTGCCGGCGGCGCTCAACCCTTCACTCAAACCTGTTTGAAGCCTTCGGGTGGATAGGGTCGGAGTTCGACTGGAGCCCCCACCAGGTGGGGCACCCTTACCATTGCGGCTCCGGCAAGCGGCAAGCGCGCACCGAAAAGCTGAGGTATTCCTCCCAGTTGGCGGGCAGCGATCCGCTCTCGCTGTCCGAGGAGGTGGTGCAGAATGAGCCTCGGCAGGGTGCGAGTTGGACTCCCTGTTGTTGGTAGATTCTTTGGTTGGCTTTCACCAGCGGTCACCAGCGGTGCCGCTTGAACCATTACCTTTTCCACCGGGCCAAAACGAGAACCGCCATTTCAGGGGGCAATGTGCATGTGAACCAACGAGGAAGCACCTGCCAGTTGTCTTATGACGTTGGTAGAAATCAAGTAGTCAGCGGCCACATTGATTTTCTGATTGCCTGAAAGATGGTTTCAATATTGACCTACTAATGTGAAGCTAATTGCTGGTGTTCATGTACCTGCTTCGCAACGTGACACGTGCTGGGCCGGAGCCGTACTGGTTTTGTTGGTCCATCTGCCCCAGAAAAAGTTCGGCCTCTTTCGGGCACCTCCGCTGGCAGCTCTCTTGTGGGGCGTTGAGCATCGCCCCTCCCCAGAGGTGTTGCGCATCACTCAAGAGCCGGTCGTCGACCTCAAGCAGCCCTACATGTGCCCTGGCAAGTGGATTTGCCGCCCTTTTTGTCACACACAGAAGCTGGTTGCGCAGAGGCAAGCTTTCAGGCACAAAAAGTGCGCTCCATGGTTGGCACATTTTAGTGGCAACAGTGTATTTCCTTGGCTATTGCCAAGGAAAGCCACAAATCATTTTTACTTTTGGTGGGGAAACAACTCTGGAAAAGCATAGAGGCTAAAGGCCAAACCAAATATACTAAATCAAGGTTCAAGAGCCAAACAACACCTGTTTAACTTGTGGGAGCCAATCACAATACCTACGAAGAGGACATATGGAATTCGGGGGAGTTCCCACTTTTGCATGGCTGCTTGATTGGTCGCTTGGGTGTCCCTCAAGGGAAACCAACGGAAAAGTGAGCTGTGCATCACCTGGCCGGGGTAACTCCTGGCAATCAACTTCCCCCGGGCCCGGGCAAGCTTGCACGCAGGCGCTTGCCGGCAGTGATGCGCCACGGCGGCTTAGGGCTGCACGCTGTTGGTTTAGGTCCGGGTTAGCGCGCAGGCCTCGCCGAAATATGTTTTTTTCCTTTGGGTGAACCTTTAATCCACCTTTGCAGGGATACCCTCAAGGGCACGCACCCATGTAGGCAAGCTGCAACATAGGCCAGATTCGTGTGCGGCTAGGTCTGCCGGGCGGCTTGGGTGTTTGATCGTCAGGCTGTTTCAAGCGAGCATGAGCAACCTTGCATTCCAGCGTGCTCATTCTGAGCCCACAGGTTGAGCCGTGGCATGGCCAACAACTTCCTAAGTCCAGAGCTCTCCAGGCCCCACGGGTTCAGACAACAAAGTGACGTGGTTGACACTCGTACAAATGTGCTACACTTAAGGGCCGAGACGCGTCAGGGACAGAAAGCAGGTGGGTCTCTGAATGCATTGTCTCTACTTGAGGCTTGCATCTTCGTTCTGAGAACTTATTCATCCTCCTGGGCCTCCTCAGGCCAGCCCTTAAGCCACAGGTTCCCTCCAGCGCATGCGCTGAAGTTTTTTTTGTTCATAGGCTTCGTTTTGCCAGCCCGGCCTGAAGTCGAGGAGCCGCCTGGTGAATCGAACTGCCTTTGCTCACGTCTTCACAATAAGCAGGTTGGAAACACAGTTGGGGCAGAAGAGTACACAATACTTGGCAAGCCTCCTTTAGTTGCAAAGCTGCATCAGCATCCGTTGGGAGCTACACAGATGCCAACAATTGGCTCGGTTGTATTGTGTCGAAGGTGGTGGCATGCCTCATTTATATTGCTTTCGTTTGGCACCGGGCGCAGCGTGTCATTCCCCCCCAAAACCCTGCCAGAGGGGGTGCTCGCCTGCGTGTTTTCCACACCGAGGTGTGTGGACCTCATGATGCGCCTTGGTTGGGGGACGGCTGCGCATCTTTCAGTGTGTACCCCATCCATGGCAGCATTTCACTTCGTTGTTGGAGATTTGAGAGGCTGAGGGCGATGTTGGCAAGCGGGGAGCTATTTGGGGACTCAACCGTACTTCCGCTGTCATTGCGTTGGGGGCCATTTCGGGCATGGCAGTGTATGCCGGTGGAGACATGTTACACAAGGACGCCCAAAAAGGGCCGGGCATGACAGTCGGCCAGAGGCATGGCCTTCCGGACCTAGGCTGTGACTGTTTGGTTGTGCACAAATGCTCTTACGGAAGATGTCCACCACAGAGCTCTTAATTTGAGTCTTAAAACACAAGTCAGACCCAGGTATGGCTCCCAGGACATTTTTGCCCTTGCCCTCGAGCTGCTCTTTGCTCACTGCCACTCGCCGAAAAAAGGATCTGAACCCGGCTGGCGTTTTGTTTCTTCCCTCAGCTGGGGAATTTGGTAGCAGGAAGATTTGTTTGCGACTGCCATTTTTTATGTGTTGTTTTCTCTTTTCTTAAAGGATTTTTTTGGCTTTCAGGGTGGGTGGCGTTTCGGCTTTTTGGCTTTTGTGGCTTTTACGTGGGTGTTTGTGGCGTTTGTGCTTTTCATTTCGCATCCTCTGCATTCTTTTCGCATCCTCTGCATTGCCGGTTCCGCTGTGGCTTTGGCTTTTCGCATCCTCTGCTTTCCCAGTTGGTTTTTGGGCCTTGGCTTCCTGCATCCTCAGCATCGCAAGTTCCTCTCTGGTGCCCCCCACCACACCCCTTTCGATAAAAATGCACGCCTCATTGAATCATCACTTTTTCGATCATCATGCGACTCTTTGCCCGATGATGTTGACGGACTAGCTTAAAATACGTACGTATGTAAATTACAGCATTTTCGTAGCCAGGGCGGAAAAAAACAATAAAACAGAACAATCCCAAATTAAATCTCGACCCTTTGTTTGCCCCCTCGAGCAGAGTAAAGGGCAGCAATGAGGGGTGATTAAACTAGTCCTGTTCCAAGCACAACCGCCATCATTGTGTTCCCAGGCAGCTCCTGCTTTATTTCTTCAAACTGGTTGGCCTGCAACTTCTGCAGACAACTCCGTCGTAGATCTCCGTACCCATGAACTTGCTGAACTCCTGGGTGGGCTGGCTAGCGCGAGGACTGGTGAAGTGAGCAATGGCACCACCTCGGCATTCGAATTCAAGTGTTGTGCAGGCAGTTGCAGTGGCTGCGTGCTGCAGGCACTTACTAGAAATTGCGGTAGCTGTAGGATCCTTGCAACATTGAATCTCCCACTCGCGTAACTGGAGCAGGAGAACCGAATTGAAGAAAAAACAATATGCAGCGGGTTCCTCAGACAACGCGTGAAAGAGGGCGTGTTTCTTTGCCTGCTGTCCTGAAGCCAAACACTGCTCGGGGTGCTAGCTTTGCGTCTCGCCTATGTTTGCCAGTGGTTTTGTTTGTTTCTTTCTTTGTTCTTTCTTGTCTTCCTTCTTGCTTGCCCTCTTTGAGAACGATTTTGCCCAACCCCCGCGCTGGTCCCATCTCAGACTTGGAGTCTGAGGCTGTCAGGGCTCAGAGCTGCTGCACCTTCTGGACAAGGCGAAGCCATGTTGAAGTTCACATGTTGCATCCCCAGGGCCCCAGCCCAGGAGAGAAGAGGCAGTTGGACTCCAGTTGCATGCCGCTGTTTGTCTTTGTGTTTATGTGTGTGTGTGTCTCTATGTGCTTGCCTGTCGTGTTTGTGTTTGCGTTTGTGTGTGTGTGTGTGTCTCTATGTGCTTGCGTGTCGTGTTTGTGTTTGTGTTTGTGTCTGTGTGTGTGTGTGTCTGTGTGTCTGTGTGTCTGTGTGTCTGTGTGTCTGTGTGTCTGTGTGTCTGTGTGTGTGTCTCTCTGTTGTTGTGTTTGTGTTTGTGTTTGTGTTTCTGTTTGTGTGTGTGTGTGTGTGTGTGTGTTTGTGTGTTTGTGTGTGTGTGTGGTCCATGCTGTGTGAGTCTGTGTCCGGCGGGTTCCTGCCCCAAAAAAAGATACGTATGTGTGCTTGTGCATGTCGGTGCTTCCACGTCAGAGCGTTGCTTTTGAATTGTTGTTGTCAGGCCGTGTGATACTTGTTTATCCAATTGGTCGACTGCAGTTGGGTGCCCCACTTTTGCCTTCTCATCATTGCTTCTGATTCTTGTTTGTAGCTTTACTGTGTCCCCAAGCTGCGTGGCAGGTAAATTGAGCAACAGACTGCTTCAACACATTTCATGTCGAAATGCTCCTCCCAAGTCCCAAGTTGGTGACTCGTATTGGTGAAGTGGAGGGGGAACAAAATCGCCAGTGTCTGCTGCCCGACTAAGCATAACATAATTGTGACCAAGCACGTCGAAAAACGTCCTGTGGACTTTAAGGAGTTCTTTCCGGCTTCAAAATAAAAGAAGCTTGCATGTGTGGTTTCAAATGGCTTGGGTGTTGCTTAAAAATCCTTGCAACAGGTGGAACGAAAAAAACCCGACAAGTGGCAATCGGTGAAGGACGCGCCACATCTTACCTGCGGTGTTGGCGGCGCATGAAATCAGGCGCTTGGGTCGATTTGTCCGCTGGATGCCGCAGGTGGAGTTGCTGACAACGGCGCAGGACAAGCTCTTCTCCATCCTCAAGCACGACGTGTTCTCGCTTGGCCGCCTGAAGCCCTGCCTGAATTAGCTTGGGGGCTGAGCCGGTCCGCTCAGGCAGAAAGACTTTGACATAGCCCTTTCAGCTATGAACGACGAGTTGAAACACAGTGCTGCATTCAAGGGGTTGGCTCATTGTTCTGGCGATTGTCATTCGGCCCTTTGTTTCAAGAGGAGATCCGGTGAATATGCGAATTCAACGTGAACGTCCCATCCTTGAAAAAGCAGCTATGCGCAGGATCACTGTCGGCCTAGGATCTATGGCATCGAGAACTGGGGCGTAGATGATGATTTCTCCACCATCGACAACACCAAGTTGAAGCAGTTCAGCTGCTCGGCACCTGTTAATCTTTGTCTCTCTCTCTCTCTCTCACCCAAGCTTTCACACGGTTGCTATTTCGGCAGCATGCGCTTTAGAAGCTTTGTGCTTTCCGTGTTGGCATTGGTGTACAAAGGTGACACTGCTGCAACTTAGCTTGCGAGTCTTCGCAGCATGTGGCGTTAAGCAAGCCTGAAGATTGGAGGCTGCGCCAAGGTCCGCGGAGCGAATAGGCCTGCAATGGCTTGGAGTTGCTGCCCTGAGAATCGTCACCGGTAGTATCGTTGCAGGTTGCGGTGGTAGTCAGAGAGGCAAGAGCAGAGAAAGAAGCGAGATCAGTAGAAGCAGCAAACGTACAAGTAGGTGTGGTAGTCATCAGCGGTGCCGTTCGTGTTGGTGTGTGCCATAAACTCGGCGTAAACTGGGTTCAAGCAGGATTCCTGACACGACCGACTTGAAGGAAGGTCGGCATCCACAAGGAAACCAGCTGTGTGCTTTAGACTGTATCGAAACCTGCGAGGCTCGCTTTGCAAGAGGATCCGGAACTTGTGCATCAACGGGGACGCCTCCAGCAGCCCCTACGAAGTACAGAAGATGCTCCATGCGCCTCGGCTGGCAGCGGGCGAGCACCGTGTCCAGTCAGGGGAGGTACCTTCCACGACAAGACTTCAATAACAGCGACAAAAACAAAAATAACAGCGATAAATAATTGAGCTTCATACCACGACAAATAAAAAAGGTTCATACCACGATAAAGAATTTTGGTCCATGCGGCTGCTCCAAAGAACGCGTGTTTTACTCTTTGGGGGCCAAAAAGCTCAAAACACACGTTCTTTGAAACATTTGAAACAGGGCCCCAGAAAGTTCAGGTGTGTTTTGAGCTTTTTGGCGCCCAAAAACTGCAAAACACACGTTCTTCGGAACAGCCGTCCATTAGCTCCTTACAAGCTCCTTATAAAGCTCCTTACAAGCTCCGTATAAAGCTCTTCACAAGGCTCCTTATAAAGCTCCAAATGCAGCTCCTGAAAGAGCTCCTCACAAAGCTCCTGATAAAGCTCCTGAACTTTCTGGGGCCCTATTTCAAAGAACGTGTTTTGAGCTTTGAAACAGCCGTCCATTTCTGGGGCCCTGTTTCAAAGAACGCGTGTTTTGAGCTTTGTGGCGCCCAAAAACTGCAAAACACGCGTTCTTTGGAACAGCCGTCCATTAGCTCCTTACAGCTCCTTATGAGCTCCTCACAAAGCTCCTCATGAAGCTCCTGAACTTTCTGGGGCCCTGTTTCAAACAACGTGTGTTTTGCGCTTTTTGGCGCCCAAAAACTGCAAAACACGCGTTCTTTGAAACAGCCGTTTATTAGCTCCTTACAAGCTCCCCATAAAGCTCTTCACAAGGCTCCTTTTTTGAAGCTCCAAATACAGCTCCTGAAAGTTTTGAGCTTTTTTGCCAAAAACTGCAAAACACACGTTCTTTGAAACAGCCGTCCATTTCTGGGGCCCTGTTTCAAAGAACGTGTGTTTTGAGCTTTTTGGCGCCCAAAAACTGCAAAACACGCGTTCTTTGGAACAGCCGTCCATTGGCTCCTTACAAGCTCCTTAGAAAGCACTTCACAAGGCTCCTTATAAAGCTCCAAATACAGCTCCTCAAAGAGCTCCTCACAAGGCTCCTTATAAAGCTCCTGAACTTTCTAGCCGTCCATTAGCTCCTTACAAGCTCCTTATAAGGAGCCTTGTGAAGAGCTTTATAAGGAGCTATGGACGGCTGTTCCAAAGAACGTGTGTTTTGCAGTTTTTGGGCGCCAAAAAGCTCAAAACACACGTTCTTTGAAACAGGGCCCCAGAAATGGACGGCTGTTCCAAAGAACGTGTGTTTTGCAGTTTTTGGGTGCCAAAAGTGCAAAACACACGTTCTTTGAATAAATCGTCCATTGTTGGAAGAAAGGAAGAAGGAAGGAAGCAGGAGAAGGAGGGAGGCCTGTTTCAAGGAGGGAAGGATCCGCTTTTTGAGCTTATCGTGATTATTATTATTTTTTTTCGTAGTAAGAAAAATAATTCCGAGTCGTGGTAGGAACAATTTCTGTCGTGGTTGGAAAGCTGTTGTGAAGCGTGGTTGGTGCACCCCCTCGTGTCCAGTACACGTCTTCTTGGCGGATCGGCGGTTTTTTTTCTTCTTTTTTCTGAGAGGGAGGCTCCTCCGAGCATAAATGGTTCCAGCGCTTTTGGCACTTGGAACTTGCTTGTTGAAGGTGAAATCGCCCTCAATCTGCCATGAACAAACCTTGCACTCACATACCAATCAATAGCTCCCTTCCAAACTGCCAATCATTTGCGAATTGAATTTGTAAGTCGAGTACGTTCACGCCTGCAACAAGCGAACAAGCGGTGCAGTATTTGCTCTTCTTGGTCTCGGACTTGCATGGCCCAATTATCACGAGCTCACCTGCGGCGACAACAAGCTCACCCAGAAGGAAGCTTCCTTTGGGGGAATTTGAATTCAGGTTTGTCCATAATGTAGTTTGCCCGGACCTATGCAGGTGGCAGATTAGCAATGCGGCTGGGGGTGTTGCATCCGGCTGCAAATCCCCTCGTTGGCGTGGACTTGCGCATGGCATTTCCTGCTGGTTGGGCAACTTGCAGGAGTTTTGTCGTGATTTGAGCTGATACGGGCGCCAAGGAGACTGAGTTCTTCTCCCATGTGGATTACACTTTGAAGATGGACATTTCAGACTTTCCAGCCAGCCTCTTGGCATAGCAATGGCAGGACTCGCCCCCTTTGCAGACGGCTTGATGGAATGATAGATCCAGGTTTTCTCTGGAGATTGCCGGCTTGCATTTCGACCCACGATTTTGGATTGATCCATCGTGCCAATGCAGCAGATGCCCAGTGAGCAGTCGAAGCGAAGGCATAAGTTGCTAGAAGCGAATAGGTTTGATCTGCTCCTGAGCAGGCCTGGAAAGATGCCCCGCTGTATCAAACTTGGTGGCCCAAGGGGCCAAATCGAGAGCGCCGGTTTCCAGTGCAAACGCGTTAAGGCACATCACCTTCAAAGCACGTTGACCTCGTTGTCCGGGGTGCCGAGGCTCTGGCCCGTTGGTGAAGACAGTGATCTCGCAGATGTGCCACTGTGCCGTGAAGGCGGTGGCCAACAACAGCAAGAACCAGATGCAGGCGGATCGGGATCTGAGCCTTGAGCTTCCCTCGGCTGAGAGGGGGCTACTGGGGAGGGGTTGCATGCAGTTGCCATGGGGCATAACTGTTTGCGTAGCAGTTCGGGTTTTCAGGGCGGAGTTTTGGGTGGGGTGATCGCTGCATTCTGACATCTTCTGCATTTGGCACGGGGGTTGTGCAGGGCCTCTCGGCTGGAGGGCAACACAAGGTTCCTGGTCAATTTGGCCACGAGTTTCTTTACAGGCGTCCCGGGCAGATCTCGATTTTTGTACTTTTGTTCGCAAGATCATGGCCAAACTATGGTCCACAAGGCAAACAGAAAAGAAGACCCAAGGCCGAAAGTGGGCGATGACCAATGGGCTATATATCGAACCTAAGCTTGCGTGCCGCACATGCCACACTTGCGAAGTGCTGCTCCCTCTGCACAGATACATGCAAGAACGGGATGATGGCTGCTTTGCGAACCTGTGTTTCCGTTTGTAAATGATCATGATCATGGGAACCCGGAACAGGGGGTCCTCGAAAGAGGAGATTCCTCTAACTCACATGGCCCCCTGAACGTGTTTGTTTCTTCATCCCCCTGTAAACCATCTACAAAGGGTCTCCGCCGATTTTGCGCAACCCTGGCTCACCATCTAAATAGGTCTTCCCCCAGAAGCCGCGGATGCTGACAAGGCCTACAAGTCTGTGGATGCTATGAAGAGCTTGGTGGCCGAGCAGCCTGAGTGCGCGCTTCTGCTGGCAGAGATCTTTAAGGGGAACTTCACCATCTGCCGCCGTGCGCCTTGTCTATTCCCTTTATGTCCGCAAAGGTGATGATCAAGCCTAACTGAGGAGGAGGTGCCGTCTACTTTCACTCAACTCTAATAGAGCTGAATGATTACAACCTGGCACCCCGTATGGCTGTTTTTTTCGGTCAAACTCCCGTATTTGGCCGTATTTGCCCGTATGGCCATGATTTTTCGGTCATTTGCGTAAATCACCCGTATGAAACCCATATTGTTTCGACATGTTGTTGAAAAAAAGCCGTAAAAACTGTATGGCCATTTTTTTCGGTCAAAGGCGTATGACCACAAAAACGGCCATATGGGGTCCAAGGAAACATGATTTCTTCCATGGGCATGACTTTTCTGTTTCTGGCTGGTGCCCCTGCAGAACTCCAATATTATGGCCCTCATATTTGCCTGCCTGAGAATCCGACGCACCGTATCTGTGAGTTTGCGTGTGCGCGGGGCATGTTTTTGTTTTTCTCGAGCCAGGGCTGGGCTTCTTCAGACATGTGCTTCAACAAGGTCTCATCTCGGATCTGGAGCTGACATGTTGTTCCCTTTGTTTCGGCCAGAAATCCCATAAATCGGTTCGCCACAAGGCGAAGCACTTAGTCTCAAGGTGGGGCATGGGGGTTGCGGCAAGCGGTTGATTGGGCCAGCCCTGTTTGAAGCCGTTTGCAGCACCTAATGTTGACCCCATATTAATCAACCCCAGTTTATTAATAGGGGGGATTCCCCTCCTAAAATGTGATGTTTCCCCACTAAACCCAGAGACACGCCCCTATCAAAAAACGGGGGTTGATTAATATAGGCGTCAACATTCTGGTTTAAACATCTCTCTGGTTCTTGTTGGGTGCTTGGTTCATCAAGTAAATGTCGCCCAATCCTGTTGCAAGTGATCGTTTCAAGTACCAGGTGTTCCCGACATGAAGACGAGCCGTGCAGGCCGCTATGTTATATGTTATGTGTCCGTGGCATTTAAAATCTCATTCACTTGCTGTGGCTGAGGGCAACCTAGTTAAGGAGAAACTGGGTTCCGCCAGATGGGGATGAGCTGGTGCTCCAAACACACACACCAAACGGGGGGCCAACTCGTTCTGACACGCAGCCATGTGGTAAGTCCCTAGCTTGATCACGGAACTTGCATAGCTGCTTAGCTGCTGACCTATTTTGGGTGACGAAAGTGGTCCCATTTGCAGTGGTTTCCCCACGAGGGGTATGAATGTGGACTGACCAACCCCCTTAAGCCCCCTTTGTGCAGCAAACTGGCATGCCTATTTTGAGAGAGGTGGACTCCTAATATGTCCATCTTTTTCATCGCCCCACCAAGCGAAATCCTGCACATGAAGGGGACTTTTTTGAGAATAGTCTTTTCGGGGTGGTCATAAACGGACTCCAAACATCGTCTTCGCAAAGGTGTTGTGGGGTCCCATTTTTCTGCCACACCCACAAAGACCCTCCAATTTAACCTCCTTCACCAGAATTGCTAACCATTTATCTATCTCCCGGACCATCTAAGTACTTTCCGGGGGCAGGGTACTTAGCAAGTGGTTAATTCGTAGCCCCGACTAGAACCCACTTGGTGGACTTACAACCATGGTAAGTAGGTTAGAACCATGCTCGCTTACCACTTACCTGACGTATCTTGTCCCCTGGAGGGTCTCACTTTGAAAGGTTTGTCTCAAAGGGGTCTTTGAATTGAACGGTTTGTCTCAAAATGGGACCCGGGTGGGCAAAAATAGCACATACAAGCAATCCCCTGTTGGTTTCCTTGGGAAGTTTTTCTGCTTGGTGCGGCCTGAGGTGCCCGAGGATTTGATCACCCACTTCGCAGAACTCATCCTTCGGGAGCGGCTTGCAGGGAGTGGCCCGAAGCAATTAAAGCACTTTTGGTGGAACGGGCAAGGAGGGTCGTCCAATTGGCTATGAATTTCAATCTTGTGTGTGTTGTGTGCCATTTGTTTGGTCTTTTTGGGGCAGTGAGCCAAACTTGGGACACCTTTTCTGTATGAATTCTGCGCATGGGTAGCAGATCACCATTGGGCCGGCCAGCTCTAGTTTCCACAGCCCAACTTCAGAAGGGTAAGTCGGCCAAGCCCCGGGCAAGTTGAAGGGTCCATGCGGGCTGCTTGCGGTTTCGCTACCATCTGCGTTCATTTGCGCAAGTGGGTCACACACGCACACCCCCGCAGCCTTGATGGGCCTCGCAAGGACTGAACCAGGCTGTGATGCGTCCATGCGAGCGATGTTTGGTCAACTTGGCGCGTTCGGAGGACAGCGGTCTTGACAGAGTGGTTGGAACCGAGGCTTCGTGTCCTGCTACATCGACTTCTACATGGCCATTGCCACCCGGGCGGGAATGGCCCCACTTTGGTCCTTGGGACAGGGCACTCTTTGTTTTTGCTGTTGAAGGCGTGCAGGGCCCTCAGAAGAAGGCCCCAGGCCCAAACAGATAGAAACCCGCGATTGCCCTGAAAAATGTCCGAATGATTGGCTTGCCTTTGAGTCCAGGGCGTGCAATCCCCGCGCCCCTGCGTCCGAGAGACCGCTCCCCTCCCCACGCCCCACGCGGGGTGTTGGACCTCGTGCGAGTGGCTGAGGTCTCAGCTGGCAACAAGCCAGTGGTACGTAACCAGGCAGGGCCTCGGTGCTGTGTTTCAGTTTTCTTTTTTTTGCAGATCACAGGTAGTGTGCTTTGCCAGGTTCATGACATGCCGCCACGCACTCTCCCGAACCCTGGGCTTGCTGCGTCCAATGTGCCCAGCTCCTCACCTGGCCCAACTTTTCCAGCACGTTTCGATCTGTATTGACTGTCGCTAGGGGTGACGGGTTGCATCAACAAGTTACCAGAACTGGGGCCTCACCAAATTCCCATGCCGCTTGGGGGCTTGAAAGTTGACAGACTGTCGCCTAGATCCTCGACTCCAGCTCTCCCAGAACAGAGGACTGTAGCTTGGTCCCCTTTTTGTTTGGTGGGTTCAAAAAGGGGAGGAATCTTTCTTTTGGGTGGCTTGGTCTTGTTGGTGTCCTTTGTCTTTGTTTCTTTGGCTGTTCTTACTCATCCAACCGCAAAGACACCAGTTCTTTTTCGGCCTGGGTCACTGCAAGCCGCCAGGTGCCGGTAGTGGAAGCACTGCAGCGGGGCAAGCCTGACAGGCGGGCACCTGTGCGGGGAGCGCAGCGAGTGCACAAGATTCAGATGGTTTCAGTGTGCTTTGTGTGCTTTGTGTGCTTTGCGTGCTCTGTGTGTGCTTCGTGTTTGTGTCTCCAAGTAGCTTGGCTTGGCTTGGCTCAGCTCAGCTCAGCTCAGCTCGGCTGGCTGGCTGGCTTGTTTGCTTCCTTGCTTGCTTGTGTGTTTACTCAGGTGGGTGCCAACAGCTTATTCAGCACCAAAAAAGGAACTCATTGCCATTCCCAAGGCACCTGCGAAGGAAGGCAGGCAGGCAGGCAGGCAGGCAGGCAGGAAGGACTGCCTGATGCGGCTGTTTGAAGGCTTTTTTCTGCAAATCAAGAGCAGGGAGTGCTTGTTGGGCACCAATTTGCTGCAACACACAGTAGACTGACTGGAAACTACGAGAAACAAAGAAAACATATCAGGCTTCAGCAACTAACTTGTCGGGCTGGGTTTGCTGCGGGTTGGTTGAGGGTTGTTTTGGCTTAGGGCAGGTTTGAGGCGGGTTTTGGGCGGGTTTAGGGTGGGTTTAGTCGATTTACAGCAGGTTTGGACTGGGACCCGGCTCTAAACCCACCCTACCCACCTCAAGCTCACTCTAAAACCGACCCCAAAACCTACCCCACCCCCAATCAGATGCCGCAGTTTCCTGTTGCTGGTTTGCAGCTAGCTGGTGCCCAATAAGATGTTTTGTGGTGATTATTGGGTTTTATGACGAAGCGACAAGTTTTATGCTTGATATTTTCTTTAGTGCCTCACCCTGTTTGCTTGTTTGCTTGCTTGTTTGACAATCGTTTGCTTGCTTGCTTGCTTGCCTGCCTGCCTGCCTGCCTGTCTGCCTGCCTGCCTGCTTGCTGTCTTGCTGTCACAAGGTCCGCCGTTCCCACCGTCCCCCCTATTTAGGCCATACTTGAGGGAGCGGGTTCGTTCTCCGAGTGCTCGGCACCAACAGAAAATCGATTTGACTTTGCCAAGCCGCTGCCCTCAGCTGAAGTTGGGTCAGGCGTTGTCAACACCCTCTTCAAACGACTTTGTTTGAGGAGGGTTTCGCTCCAAAGTCATCTTGGCAAAAAAGGCCCCAGGGAGAGGGCTCGCTTGGATTCCCCTAAGCAAGAAGGAATGGATGACTGGATACGGGTACGTGTCAAACAGGGGTTCCCCCGCCCAGAATGTGTGTTTCTATTTTGGTTTCCATGGACCCCCCTCATGTTGGCCCTCCCCCAACAACAAGAAAAAGAGCACTGATCCTTAGGATGCTGCACCTGCTCCGGGACCTGAACGAGTTGGAGAGGGCACTGGAGCTGGCCCGGCACTTCAAGTCCAAGAGTGTGCTCCGCGGCGAGGCGCGCGTGCCGAAAGGGCTCGCTCGCGTTAGGGCGTTAGAGGCTGAGTGAGAGGTGGTAAATGTCAGCCTGAGGCGTTGGTAAGCGGTGAGTATGGCTAAGACCATGGGACTGTTGCCCCGTTTCGAACTAGCCTCTTGCCGTTCCTGGGCTGGTGTCAAAATAGGGTTTGGGTGTGTGTTTTTGTTGGGGTATTTTTTGTTGGCTTAGGGGAACAGAAGAAACGGAGAGCCAGCTTTTTAATAGGGAGCCTTCGCCAGGATACCACGGAGCTCAACGAGAACGACCAGGAGGGTTGGGCAAAAGTGGAGAAGCCATGGCCTTCTTATGAAATCCAGATGCGTCAAGTCTGCAATTCCTGGTGGTGTCCCAACCCAGCCTACCCATTTGGGGCCCGGAATGTGCACCTCGTAGGTCCCTGGTGGATCTACTCCGATGCAGAATAAACATAAGAGCAAGTGTGTAAGCGGTATTTGGTTTCCGGATGGAAACAGTTATGCAATGTACCACAATTTGCCCATCTGCGAGGGCGGCAGGCGGACTGCACCATGAGTGGAATACTGCGAAGCAAGCACAGAACAACAGAGAAACAAAACAGACACAAACTTCTTTCCACTCATGGCATAATGAATTCCTAAAGAAACTGCCAAAGAGTGATTTCATCACTCGGATCGAAACGGCCTTGTGTGCGGAATGGTGCGTAGCACATACATTTTTTTGCCGTACCCATCTAAATGAATCGGTTGTTCCGTAAAAATCAGAGAGACGCGCTACTTTTACACGAGCACATCTGAAGTCTGTGTCGCTATGTACTCGAATGGAGACTACGTCTGGATATGTACACGGTTGAAATGTGAAAGACAGTGCCTACGCCTAGAATCATGGTTAGGAATGCCCGGAGCGAACAGAAACGGACATGCTAATGAAATTGTTCTCCTGATGGTTGTGCCATGACGATGGCAGTGCGATCCATTTGGTCCGTGGGATGCTCTTCAGCTGGAACATCCCCGTTTGTAGTCCTGTTGTCTCTTGCGTTTCAATTTCTCCTCGGACACTTCATGGAGTCGAGGTTCGCCAAGAAAGGATGGCGCCAGTCCGAGTCCGACTTTCCCATCATGAGCTGCTCACAGGTGAGAAGCTTGTATCTTTTTCCTGAATTGACCACATAGTCGGGCAATATGTTTCCCAGTGGATGCGGTTGATCTGCAAGAAGGTCTTGCAATTGAGATGGAGCGCTTGACAAAGAATCCTTTTTAAGGCCCAGGTTAGTACTGGCAATAGCTTTATTTGCAAGACTAGTAGCCGCGCCCGATTGGCGTCAAAATTGTGCAGAAGACAGGCGCATACTGGTAGTACTAGTACCAGTGATTGCCAGTGGTAGAAAGCGATCTAGACTACTAGCCGCGCCCGGCTTCTGCTCGCGCGAAAATCGGGCACGGTGGCAACACTCGTAGTACTAGTACCAATGGTATGAGTAGTAGTAGAGGATCTCGCGAGATAAGGAGCGCTTGACAAAGAATCCCTTTAAGTAAGGTTCAATCGAGTACTGGCAATAGCTATGTTAGGCGCCCGAATAGCGTCACAAACGCGCGAAAAAGTGGCCCGGTTGTTCAGGTTTTTTCCATCAAAACGCGCGAAAACCGGGCGCGGTGGCAATACTCGCAGTACTAGTGCCAATGGTATGAGTAGTAGTAGAAGACCTTGCGACAAAAGAACGGTTTATAAAATCCGCTGAACGGCCCAGGCTAGCACTAGCAATAGCAACCGCACCCGACTTTCAATCTTCTTAACGTCAAAACGCGCGAAAACCGGGCGCGGTGGCAACACTGGCATTACTAGTACCAGTGGCATGAGTAGTAGTAGTAGAAGATCTTGCATTGGAGACGGGGCGCTTGCAAAGGCTGAAAGATCAAGACTTCTAGCTGCGCCCGGTTTTCAGATTTTTTGAACGTCAAAACGCGTGAATATCAGGCGCAGTCCAATACCAAGCCAATACAACTCTTGCAATATAAGGAGCGCTTCACAACCAATCCTCTTAGGCTAGCACTAGCAATAGCAGTATCAGCAAGACTGATAGTGGCATGAGTACTAGTAGAAGATCTTGCAAGACGAGGAGCGCTTGACAAAGAATCCTTTGAAGGCGCAGGCTAGTCCTAACAAAAGCAATGTTTGAAGCGGGCGCATACTGATAGTACTGGTACCAGCGGCAGTAAAGGATCTAGACTACTAGCCACGCCCGATTTTCAGATTTTTTAACGTCGAATCAATGTTAACAAGAGTAGTATCCGCACTCGATTAGCGTAGTACTAGTACCAGTGGTATGAGTAGTTGTGGAAGATCTTGCATCTTTAGACAGAATAAAAGGAGTGCTTGTTACAGAACCCTTTCTAAGGCTAATGGCACGAGTAATAGCACTGGTGAATCATATTTGCTGGACAACTCCGCAGAATTCACAGTTGTAGGTCATCATGGAAACCGAACAAGCTGCTGCTAGAACTTGCTTGTAGCATTACTCGTGCTAGTCTTGTAGCATTAGCAGTCGTAAAGTAGCAGCAGCAGCAAGAGCAGCAGCAGCAAGAGCAGCAGCAGCAGTAGTAGTAGTAGCAGCAGTAGTAGTGCTAGAAAGAACGCTCTAACGATAGAAAAATCCTAGACCGTCATGGAAATCGAGCTGTTTGCTGGACAACTCGAACTCGGAAGAATCCAGGGTTGTTGCCCGATTTGTTTTTTGGGCGTGGTTTGAGAAACGCTTTTTTGGTTGTCGGTAGATCAATATTCCTCGTCGGTTGAGTTGCTATTTTTTGTCCTCGGTTCGGACCCTTCCCCCCAAACCCCCCGAACCCCCCAAACCCGAACCCCCCAACCCCAACCCCAGGAGCTGGTCTACTACCTGAAATCCCTGGAGCTCTTAGGTGGTTTGGCCAGAGGCCGGGGCAGCCACTCGCTGATCACCAAGCCCTTCGTGTCAGGAGTGCACATGTCCGCGGGCGAGTGGAACCTGACAAAGTTTTATGCCCAGCTATAGGGTGTTTCTTCTAGGAGGCCTCCCGCTGCGCCCAAGTGTTTTTTTTTTTTTTTTTTGGGGGGTGTCCCTTTCACCCCCTTCACCCCCAAAAAAAGAAGAAAGTGCCCCAAAAAGACAGACCCTGTTGCTCAGTGGCGCCAACTTTTGGCTTGTTGGCTTCCCCACTGAAAAAAATGAAGTCACCCCCCAAAGGGTTCCCTCAACGGATCGAAATCAACTGGGGTTGATCCAGTTGGTCCCTACTAGCTTCCACTTGAGGGTAACCTTGGTGCAGCCAGCAACACCTCATTGGCCATGCAAACAGCCTCTCGTAATCGACTTGCCATCAAAGCGCATCCTTATCCCTTGGAAACGGAGCGGGTTTGGTACTTTGCATTCTTCCCCCTCTGTGTCACGGGACATGCTTGTACTTCGTCGCGTGCCCCCCTTGTCAGCTGGCAAGGGGATGGAAGTGTCGTCTAGTTGCTGCGCACACTTATTCTGGATGCGTATAACCGTTCTCAAGTGCCCATTTCCCATGCCTTGATGTTCACCAACTTGATCCCACGCCAATTGCTTAAATGCTTGCTTCGTCGACAAGCTTGGCACGTAGACCTGCTGAAGCAGAGAACGCCAAGTTCCAAACAGCCGACCATTTTGTTTGCCTGGCAGAGGCCAGGTTGTGCGTTTCCGCCCGTAGGTCCTTGAAGGGTTGGAAGGTGGTAAGCGGTGGCCTGGCCTCTCACGTTTGCGTTGTCTGTTGAACCACCAAAAAGGCAAAGAAGGCTTCCTGATTTGCAGCCACCCGAGTATGCCCTTGTGCCGGGCGAGGACTCATTCACCCTACCACGATTGTGCGGCAATTGCTGCGCACCTCCACCACTCGAGCCTCGGCTGCCCGGGCTGTTCGTGACGACTGCGGGATTTAGGCACCTCTCGGGGAATCCTCTCGTCTCTGAGTAACCCCTAAACGCTCCAAAGAGGCGGTTGGATATTCTGGGCTTCTCAATCAGCAGCATTGCTTCGGGCAGGATGGCGAGATGAATGGCTCCGGTCGCTCGGTTGGTTTGATCTATTTGTGTTGGTTGGCTGTCTGGTGGGTGGGTTGTTTTTTTGGTTGCTTGTTGGCGTTTTTGCTCAATTGTTTCGTTTGCCTTGCTTGTTTGTGGCAACCTGTGGTTTTAGGGTATGCCCATGTGGGGTCCGTAAGCAGGCAAACAGAACATTGTCGTTTGCTGCCTTATTTAAAGTTTTTCAAGGCTGGGTCTTGCACGGCCAAGTATGCCCGGAGAGCAAAACATGCGTCTAAAAAGAAGAATTCAGCGGGGATGGGGTGCTCGAAATGTTCAAGGACCCCATGAGTTCTTAAGTCTTAAGGCCTTCTCCAAGAGCAAACTTGGCATGTTTTTTGTTTTTTCTCAGGTCGCCTTGTTTCTTTTGGTCTCCATCAGGTGAGCGCCGGCCCCGAGACCTACCGCTGAGCCCCATCGCTGTGGCGCATCTCACCATGGCCTCCCGGTGGCTGGCGCCTTGCTTTGTGAGGCGAACTGCAGCTCTTTCGCTTGGGGTTTATCCTGTGGAGCGATAGGTTGCCATGAGACGAGTGCCGAAACACGGTCGAGTTGGGATATTCTTGTACAGGCGCTGCATCTTGGGCAGTGCACTTACGCATCCGCACCAAGGGTTCGTGAATTGGACTGACAAGGGTTTCTACAGAAAGTTAATTAACTGACTATTTGCGAGGACGCTAGAGGTGGACCGAATGCACCAGTTGATCGCTCAGGAGTTGGTGCGACATCTGTCCTACGATGTGGACGTGAACTTGCGGGACGTCCCATTCCTCGCGAGCCCGCTGCACGTGGAGTTTATCCGCGCGCTGTTGGATTGGACTCGGGCTGCTTGGCTGACTGTCGATTCGGGGGAATCAGGCGGGGATGCTCAACTTGGCACCTGTCCGGAAAGTACTAGGAAACTGAGGCTGTTTTCTCCCAGGGCTGGAGAGTGCCAGGATTAGTCGGGGGGGTTGTGTTGTGAAGGGGGGCTGGCCTAATAACATGTAATTCGACGCTTGCTGTTTCCGGCTAGCTGTTTCTTCGGCTTCGGGAGTAGCAACCCTTGCTAGGAGTTCGTCTTCTTGAAACTGGTGACTGCACCGAGGCCTCTTTGGAGGCACCTTCCCGCCTGGGCGGGCCTGAGATGGAGGAGGTGGCCTACTTCCGCGCCTCGCCTTTCCGCCTCTGGTCGGAGGGGGGGGGAAACCCGCGGCCATGCCGAGTGACGCCTTCGGATCCTTTGGGTCCTTCGGGGCACGGGACAAAAGTTGGAGTTAAACCTAGGGGACGCCCTCGAATGCTTGGTTTCCTTTTGGTTTCCTTTTGGTTTCCTTTTGGTTTCCCTTGAAGAGAAAGGCAGCCCGGTATGTTGGGCGCGGCTTCCGGCAGCGCGCGGCGCTTTTTGCGAGTTGTGTCGCGTGCCATCTGGCATTGAACGCATCTCATGGATGAGGGCTTATGCGAAAAGTGAGCGAGCATTACGGCAAAAGGGCGTCTTCCAATCAGGTATGCCGGGCAAGAGGGTTGAGACTCAGAATAGTGTCAGCTGCCAGGTCAGGCTTCTCCGCCATCATCTCACTTATCGAGTCCTTCCAGCTTGCTACCTCAGAGTGGCTAAGTCACCTTCCCCCCCTCAAGCCAAGCCACAATTTCAGGGTAGGCCAAGTCCATCGAGTGCGATTAGGTTTGCCACTTGTTTTGCAAGCGGCCGCCCTTTGTGCGAGGTAACATGCTCCTTTGCATCGACGCATTCTTCAGCTTCTCCTTCGCACCGGTCTGCGAGTCAGACACCGGCGAGGCAGGGGGCAGGATAAATTCCGACCGGACGCCTTAAAGTCGGCGTTTTGACGAAAGCTCGCAATTTTGTTGGGGGTGTCGGTGGCGTCCCATTCATTCCCATTCACTCTGACAAGCAAATAGAATAGAGAGTAATTTTGAGGTTGTCACTTGGACCCAGTTTTTGCCCAACCGAGCACCTGTGTTAGACAAGCATGTGAGGCAGGGGCCAGAACTATAGTCCAATTCCTTGGATGGCTTGGCAAGGAAAACGAAAGAAAGCCACACATCACAAAGGGTGCCTTTGACGCATAAGATGTGCCATTGCTGTTGGCGCGGTTGGAGTTGGTGGCGCCGGACTTGCGAGCAGCAACCCCGCCAAGGCATCCCAAAACGGCGGGCCAGCTAGAAGCCTTTGATCCGGATCCTTCCAGGCGGCCACCAGCACCATCCAGCATTTCGTTGAGGGTTCTGTTTCATCGTCCCTTCGAATGTTGCTGGAGTTCGGCGATTTGAGGGTAGCGCAGCTTGTGAGATGGAGGCAGTTGCTGCCTTGGCCAGCGATTACTATGCCTACTTCGGCCGGGTGATGCAGATGCAGGCACTGGGGGTTAGGGTGGGTGATCGTTTTGAGCATCCTCAAAGGATGCATTCAATTACACCACAGTTTGTGTACCAGCACCTCCACCAGCACCCCCCGAAGAGCACCTCAATCCTGCAAAAATGTGCGCACCGTCCCCAGCACCTCAAGCAGCACCCCATACAGAATCCTAAAACACCACCTGCATCAGCACGTCAAACTGCACGCCCCCTAGCACCAGCCGCAAATCAGTTTGCCCTCTTCACCAAAACGTCACCTGCTGCACCAGCACCCCGAGCTGCATGCCCTGTTGCACCCTACCTTTAAGATGCAAACATGCGCCTACACCGTCACCTGCATGCCTGATAGCACACAGGCGTCAATATCGCAAAAATGCGCCCGCACCGTCACCAGCACCTCAAACAGCTCCCCACAAGCAGCATCCCACAGCACCATCAGCACCAGCACCCCAAACTGCATTCCCCCCTGCGTCCTACCGTCAAGATGTAAACATGCGCGCACACCGAATCCCTCCAAAACAGCACCTGCACAAGCACCCCAAACTGCATGCCCCCTAGCACTCTATCGTCAATCTTGAAAAGATGCACACGCACTGCCATCAGCACCTCAAACAGCACCCCAATCAGCACCTACACCAGCACCCCAAACCGCACGCCCCCTAGCACCAGCCCATCAATCTCGCAAATCACTTTCCCCTCTTTATTAGAAGTTAGAACCCCTATGGCTTTCAGCTATCTGGGGAATAAAGACATGAAGAGACATGACCTTTCGATCGTTTCATAGCAGCGGACCAACTCTTGGAGTTAGAGGCAAATGATAGCCGCTGGATATCTCTTAGCTGTTCATTTCCTGAGATTTTTGCCTACATAATTATCTTTATCTAGCTCCAAAAGGATTCTGAGATCGGAGCTAACTGGCGTGTCCAAGAGTTCAACTAATTCGTGATGACGGCAAAACCACGGTAAAAGCCAAGCAGTGGCCTCCCTTCATCCATCTATTAACTCACTATGAAATAATATTGGATATGAAGGCAATAAGAATGACGGAGGAAGAGATACAGAAAGATACATACATACATGTACATAATAAACTCATATGAATTAATATGATACCAATATAATTAATAGGCTATGAAAAAGATAAGTAAGAAGACATCCTGAACAGGTTACCCTTCTCTTTACGGCTTACCAAAGCTTGAGAATTAACGAGCAGCTTCTGAATGGTTTGTCAAGCTGAACATATTTCCGTGGAGATGGGCCGTGGGAAGCTCAAGGAGACACGTTGCTAATTCACTCCGGCGAAGGTTGGGCAACCACTTCGGGCCGTCAGAGCAACTTGGGAGCGTCTTTCTTTTTTTGAGGGGTTTCATGGTAAACTCCGTTTTTGTGGTTTTCACGAAAGCCAGCGTTAGCAAGAGCCTCAACTGTACTTGCTTTGCAGTGTTCCGGATGGATGCACCACTGTGTGATTACATCACATGCAGCCGCCACTTTGTGTGGTTGCAATCACACTGCCACCCCCCCCCAAGCTCGAATCCACCCGAGCTCGAATCTGCGCACGCACGCGCTTGCGTAGGCATCTAGACGCGCTTGCGCGCGGCCCTGCGCAAACCTCTCCTTTAAAATTGTATAGCAAAACAGACATCACGTCGTTGAGGGTCATATTTTGTTCCTTCGGGTCTGTGAGGCCTGTTCCCATTCCTTTGATGGCGGCGTGCGTGGGAACCAAAGGCAGTGAATTTCAACATTGTTTGGCCGGGAGCGCAACAGGACAGGATCTGGCAACGACTTTTGGACGTTGCCAGATCCTGCCAGATTCTGGCCTTAAATCATCCGGATCACAAAGGAACCGCGTTGAGATCCAGCAGTCTAAGGCCAGGGTCTGGCAACTTCCAAAAGTCGTTGCCCGGTTGTTGTTTGCTGGCAGCTTTTGGCGGTGCCAAAAAGCCAGTTTTGAGCGTTCAACAAGAGAACTTGTATAACACAGGGGAGCTCGTTTCTTTTAGTTAAGGAGAGGGTATGCCCTGCAACATGAACCCTGCCACCGTTGTTTTGTTGAAAAAGCGCACTTGGTAGGTGGTTGCACGCGCATGCTTCTCTGCGCGCAGTCCCCTCGCTGGAGCTGGCCTGCCTGCGCCGGGCCCTCGAACAGCCGTCCTGGCACCGCTCATGTTGCGCTTTTGTCAACTTCTTTGCTCCGCTTTCTTCGGGTCGCGTCCGTAGTCCCGGGCACTGCTCGTTTCATGCACGCACGCGCTTGCATAGGCATTTGCCAGCGCATGCTTCCCTTGCCTGAGCTGGCACGAATGCGCCGCTTCTCTTGAACATTCACGCTGGCGCCGCCACTTGTATTCAGGCACGCGCTCGCAAACCCAGTTGCAGCTTCTTTGCGCGCCCTTGTCGTCGCCCACTCACGTGCATGCTCCCTTACCTCCCCGGCGTGCGACGTGGCTTTGCACTGCTGCAACCCTTGCGCCCGGCCGCATCCATTTCCACAACATCCAGATCTCCAACGAGTTCATCTTCTGGTTGACGGGCCCGCTCAGGGATCAAGCTTTCTGCTCCACATCCAGTCCAAATGGAGCAGGGCCGCGCCACCTCCAGAGGCCCCTCCTCCTAGTACAGCGTGTCCCTGACGCCAGTTCCCATCCCCGACGCAGCTCCCCACAGCACATCGGATCCGTCTACGATCCATTTTCGCCGACGAACTGAACCATCACCTTGCCATAGGGCTCGACATGTTGCGTTCGTCCCCTCCGCAACTGCTGAGCACGTCCTTCAATTTGTTGAGTGTCGGCTGCAGTGCCCGGCCGGCCCGTGGGGCTTGACCTTCACGCTGCTGCTCTTGCCCGTACGTAGGGCGCGGCCTTCATGCCACTGTCACTGCCCTGCACCTGTGCGTAACCTTCGTGCAGATCCTCTTCCCCACAGTGCTTAGCCTTCGTAGGCGTTTTTTGTGCCACTGGAAGATCATCTGGCCTGCGGGCCCTCAAAGTCGCCTCACCCACGCACACACACTAACGCCAAGAGCGGGTTTGCCGGCCTCCGCTTCCTTGCCTCCTTCCCTCTCAGCAAGCGCCTCGGCCTTCCGTCTCTGCCTTGCCATGGCGCCTCAAACCGCCCTATGTTGAGATTTGACACTGCCATCGTGTGGCAGACTGGTGCCCGTTCTTTTACGGGCGTCTTCGCGGGAAAAAGGGCCGTGCGCGTGTTGCTAGCTTTCGTCTACCCCTCTCTCAAGCAAAGTGAAACCCAAAAGGATATGGGGTCCCCTAAAAGATGCATTCAGCTGGAGTCTCCCGCAGGCCTCGGTTATGAACAAGAAGTCCTCCACTGCCAAGCGCTGGGGCATCGCTGAGGACGCGCATTCGCACGTTCACGGGGCGGATATGTGCGCCGTTCCCAGAATCTGGCTGGCGTTGGCGATTCTCTTGGGCGGCCTGGGGCCACGTGCAACCACAAGGAGATTGTCTGAAAGTCTGAAAGTGATGTTGTTCATGTATAATAGATTCCTGAAAACTAGTCAAACAACAGAAAAGAGACCCACTTTCTGCGGTTCCACTCCACTGGCTCTGCTTTGATTTGTGTATAGCCCAGACACATCCGGCTCTGGCAGCTCGGAGGCCCTCCGTCCTTCTCGGACCACAGCGAGTCTCGCCTAAGAGTTGGAATTTGTTGCTTTACCAGGCGAGAAGATTGGTAATGGCCAAGTAGGACGAAACCGAGGGGCCCTGGTTGCCAAGTGGCAGGGTCAAGGCTTGAAGGTTGCAAGCGGACAACGCTGATTTTAACAGATTGTTCAAGTTTGATGCTAGCTTTGCGATCAAAGCCGACCTTCAACATGATCAGCGTGTCTAGTTTCCCAGGCGTGCCCATGTTCGTAGATGGTGACCGAAAGGCCATCCATTTGGACAAGGGAGACGGGTGGACCGGTAGCCCAAAGCAGAGTCGTGTTGTCAACGAATCGCAGACGTCGATCTCGAACTTCAGTCAGAAAGTTCTAGTCGGACAGCTGGCAGGGTCCTCGCAAGGGGACGGTTCAAGACTCATGCAGGATCCTTGCTGCGTGAATGTGCCAAGGATTTGAACCTTCGCAAATGGTTAGAATTCCGTTACAAATCCATTCAAATTACACCCCTATTCGGTATGTGGTTCTGTCTCAGGTTCGTGTTTGGTAGCTGGCAATCACGCCCAGAAGAACCTTCCCGCGCTATGAAGGTGGACGTTCATTTGGCCAGTGGACATGGTTGCTCCGTAGAAGTTTCACTGGAAACAACTATCAAGGAACTGCAGGCTGCAGCACAGCAGCAGTTCCAGCGCCGCTTGAAGCTCTCTGCAAAAGGCCGGCAGCTCAATTTGACGGCCACTCTGAGTGAGTCTGGCTTGCGAGATGGGGACGTGGTGAATGCGGTTGTGCAGCTTGGCAAACTGGCTGCAACCTTTAAGGCGTTCGCTTGGCATGGCGACGGGGGCGATGTTGTTACCTGGGGTGATCCAAAAACGGGCGGAGACAGCAGCCAGGTGCAAAAACAGCTGAGAAACGTCCAGCACATCCAAGCAGGTGCAAATGTTGCTTTTGCCGCCATTCTTGAATCTGGGGCTGTTGTGGCCTGGGGTCGCACGGAATTCGGCGGAGAAAGCAACCAGGTGCAAGAGCAACTGCGCAACGTCAAGCACCTTCAAGCATCTAACGGTACTTTTGCTGCCATTCTTAAATGTGGGGCTGTCGTGACTTGGGGTAGTGAAGACGGCGGCGGCGACAGCAGCCAGGTGCAAGAGCAGCTGAGGAACGTCAAGCACATCCAAGCAACTGATGGTGCTTTTGCAGCCATTCTCGAATCTGGGGCTGTTGTGACCTGGGGTGATGTAAGATTTGGCGGAGACAGCAGCCAGGTGCAAGAGCAGTTGCGGCACGTCCAGCACATCCAAGTTACTGCCGGTGCTTTTGCAGCCATTCTTGATTCTCGGGCTGTTGTGACCTGGGGTGATTCAGACTATGGCGGAGACAGCAGCCAGGTGCAAGAGCAGCTGAGGAATGTTGAGCACATTCAAGCAACTACCGATGGTGCTTTTGCTGCCATTCTTGAAGGGGGGGATGTTGTGACCTGGGGTGATTCAGACTGTGGCGGAGACAGCAGCCAGGTGCAAGAGAAGCTGAGGAAAGTCCAGCACATCCAAGCAACTAGTGGTGCTTTTGCTGCCATTCTTGCAGGCGGGGCTGTCGTGACCTGGGGTAGTGCAGACTGCGGCGGAGACAGCAGCCAGGTGCAAGAGCAGCTGAGGAAAGTCCAGCACATCCAAGCAACTAGTGGTGCTTTCGCTGCCATTCTTGAATCTGGGGCTGTGGTGACCTGGGGTCGGACAGGCTGCGGCGGGGACAGCAGCCAGGTGCAAGGGCAGCTGGTGAACGCCCGGCACATCCAAGCAAGTTTACAGGCTTTTGCCGCCATACTTGAATCTGGGGCTGTCGTGACCTGGGGTAATCCAGACAGGGGTGGAGACAGCAGCCAGGTGCAAGAGCAGCTGAGGAACGTGCAGCAAATCCAAGCAACTGATGGTGCTTTTGCTGCTATTCTTGAATCCGGGGCCATTGTAACCTGGGGTGATCCAGGCTGTGGTGGAGACAGCAGGCACGTGCAAGAGCAGCTGGTCTTGGATTTAGGGCTGTTGTAGCATGGACGGCGCAAATCTGGGGCACTAAACGCATGCCGAAAGAAGAGAACAACAGTCTGACAGGTTCAATCCACCGTTGGATTTCATTTCCAGTGTATTGCTCAGAGTTAGGGTGTGGGGCCAGCGCGCTGCAACGGCTAATAGGGCTGAGCGACAGAGAGCGATCTCACCATCAGCCACTACTATCCAGAGGAAGGCGTGCGAGTGCGTTGTTTTTGGAAGATGCCCCTTTCACAGCCATTTCATCAGGTACCACTAAATTGGTGGTTTGGATTGGTGGTTTGGGGTTTTTACCCCCATCTCCTTTTGAAGCCGACGGTATCCCCCCCCCCCAAGGTCCAAACCACCAATTGAAGGAAAGATAATTTCAGAGAGCTCACAGGGGCGTCCCCCTGTTTGGAATCCGAACCCCGAAAAGCCGGCTTTCTTTTTGATCAAATCTGAAACATGGGGGCGGGTTCAGTAAGTCAACGTCAGAGTTGCGCAGATGTGTGGACAACGGCAGGGGGCGCCATTTCCGCTGGGCTGTGGTCGGCATTTGGGATGCGGGGGGGGGGAGGGGCTTGTGGGTGGTAGACATTCAATTCCCACGTCGGCTTCAAAATAGGGAACATAGGCCAAGCGGGGAAGACACCTAGGACACATTATATATGTATACAATATCCATTGGCAAACTTTCAAACTGGTGCGAACCGTGTTGAAATATCTTGTAGCTCACTTTGACCAGGCTGGTTTCGAGTTTCTTGGTGAATGACTTCCAGTTTGAAGTAAACGGGAAGTCATTCAGCCAGAAGCTCAAAGCAATGTGGAAAGGTAACCTGAAACCCCCTCCAGCAACCCAAACCACCTGCTGCGGTTTGGACTCTGATATCGGGTTCTTCAAACGCGGGTTTTCGCGAAATCGACTTGGGGGCGCCAGTCGGTTGCCTTGGGTGCCTCAAAGTCAGAAACTTACCCGGTTTCGACGGTGTCGATCTGGCACATGGATTGCCCGTCAGCGTCGGCAGGAAGAGGCTGACCTTCTGAACATTGCAGGAGTGCGGCGCCAGGGCTCGGTTTGCACACTTCAGTCGCTTGGTCTTCAGATGTCTTCAGTGATCCTAGTTGGTACTCATTCGCGACCATTAGTCATTTATAGAACTACAATCGTCGTCCAAGTGCACCAGTGACCTTTCCAACCAGCCAACCATGCAAGCCTCGCCTTGCACTTGCCATATTGCGATCGCGGGAACGTGCATTTTGGACCAATAGGCGCCATCGTCGGAAGGCCGATTCGCTGATATAAGTAGGTGTCAGGGCTATTTGCAGGCTAAAAGCAGCAGAAGCTGTTTGAACAAGGACCTGCGTGATTCGCTAGAAAGAGAGAGAGAGAGAGAGAGTTTGCAGTTTCAAATGGGACTTTCTTGTCATAGCATGCCCCGGAGCAGCTTTCCAATGGAAGGGCACACAGCGAGCTGCGGGCATACGATCCTGGCGCTTGGATGTTCACGCTGAGGCTGCAATAAAACCTGGCCGAAGGTGCGCGTCAGAGCAACTGGCTACCTTTCCCTACCATACCGCGCGCTCCAATTCATGCTAATGGAGCCCTCCTATTAACCAACCCCTGTTTATGTTCATCACTTTTGGAGGGGAGCACCCCTATATTAATAAACAGGGGTTGGTTAATCGGTCAACATTATGCCACTTTTGCCAAAGCCATGAGAGCATGTGCTTTGACAGGTGCAGCCAAAAGAAAAAACAGAGCCACTCGACCAGCTGCAAGAGGCTAACTGGGACTCAACAATCGGTATGCTGTCCAGGATGTGCCAATGTTAAGCGGGGAGCAAGGTGCTGCGCTACTGTTCTCACTTTACAATGGTGCAGGGTTTCTTCTGTCAACTCAGTAGCGCTTCTCACGCGGAGATGACTGTGAGCATGAGAGCTTGCCAGGAGCGCGTGTCCTTCAAATCACTTCTGGGGAGAATTCCAAAGAGATCCACGCCATGGCCACCCACACCGAGGCGGAGGCTCAGCTAAAACGCGGACCAGGGGACCAAACTGGGCCAATTGGAGTGAGGGGCCGCGGAGCAACCAGCCAGGAGGTCCCTCCAAGCGAATGGAAGAACTGTTTCGAGGCGAAAGGCCCAACGTTCGCTCGAAACAGTGGGTTGGTAGCTGGTGCCGATTCTTTGGTTTGCTGTGCGAGAGGCTGTCTACCTTTTGTCCCCCCACAGGTTTTCCGCAGAAAAGCAACGATTCGGACAGGTCACATAAGCACCTGCAAATACCGATCGATTCCAAGCCAATGCTAAACGGGTTGCAACCTTGCGATGAGTGGCAGGCAGTTTATGCAACAGCCTTAGTTTGATGGGAGCAGTGGGTAGGATCCTCCTGAAGCCATTTATGATCATGGCGACGCATGTGCGAACATGTAGCATGGTATCTCTTTTCTAAAATAGAAACATGGAGGCACATAGCCATGGTGCAAGCCATCTACCGAGTTGCCTGCCACTTCAACTAGGCAGTGTCTCAAACTGGGCACACCCTGATTGTCTTTTTGGCTTCCTTTAAACGCCCTCAAATTCACGTCACCAAAGTACTCTTAAGAGTTGGCTTTAGCTTCCCTTAAAAACAAAAGCCCCCGACATGCACCCTCCACAAAAAAGAAAACGTAACAGCCACCGAGGATCACAGTGCCACCAGCGAGACGGAGGCCCAGTGGCGCGCCATGCTCGCGGCGATCCGCGCGGAGCCCCGCATCGCGGAAGGCGAGTCCGCGAGTCCGCGAGCACCTTGCGTGGGCCAGTTGTTTCCGAGAGGTGGCTTTTGTAACTTGTAGAGCGGTGCTCCCGTAGTAGCTCCGCAGTGCTTCAGGCGCAGCCATTCAGTCATGAGAATAGGCGTGCAGATATTCGGAACGCCGTCGCAATTTCCCGCGACAAATTCAACCTGTAGTGTGTTAGTGCGCATTGCAATTCGACAACAGAAGACATGCCCCAAGGGGTCCCCGCAGGCATTCGCGATGAGGACGAGTACCTGGGGTGGCTGGCCCGATTAAAACCGTGACTTTGGCCGACCCGGCCGAGGTGTTTACCCGCCAGAACGCGACCTCTTGGCTCCTGCAAAAAATCAGCAGGGGGCAGTTTCCCAGATTTCAGGAAACTGACGAACCCTGACAGCCACAAATCTGTGGGATTTCCGTGATGCATGGCTAGAGGGTGCCCACGGCGCGCTCGGGCGCTCACATGTCAAGCTTTCCCTGGCGTTTGGCAGGGGTCATCCTAATGGCAATTCTTCGGCCAACTGAAAGCAAGAAGGCTCGCCGGTGCCCAGGTCATTTTTGGGGATGTGCCAGCAGGTTGAGACTGTTGTTCTGGGGTTGGGTGGGGAATGATGGAATGCACATGTGCTTTCAGACCGGGTTCACGTTGTGGGGGGTTAGGGCCTCTCAAAAGATACCAATTCGCCGTTGGAAACATGACTTTTCCACCGGACCAAAAGGGCCCGGCATGTGGATAGTTCGGGTGGATGTTGTTTTCCTCTCCGAAGCCCTTCATCTTCAGGCGCATCATCAACCAGATTGGCGCCTTTACGGACCCGGACCGCGACGACTACACCCGGTTTTTGCCCACAGAAATGGGGCATTCCCTGCCCGACGGCGCACCTCGGTGCATTATGGACCATGGTGGTCCTTAGGTCAGTTTGGTTGGAAATAGATGGGTTCCACCTTGGTTTTTAGCTGAAAGCATCATAGGTCTTTGTCTATGTTTTGCCCACAGAAATCAGCCGCCAGCCCCCAAACAAAGAGCTGTGGGCTAGCTTTTTAAGGTTTCCTGAAACATTCGAAACGGAGGCCCCCCCCACCCGCATCAAATTTTGGCGCATTCCCAACCACAAAACGGGGCTTAAATGCCAACAACAGGGCTGTGAATCTGAACTTCAAAGCCGCTTGACTGCAGGTGGATTTCAGACGAAACATCATCACCTGCGAGGATGTCTTGAAGCAGATCATGCATCACCAGGTCGGTCGGGCTCATGCTCCCTTTCTTTCATAAACGTAGACCTCCCTCAAAGCAGGAGAGGGGGAGTTATCAACACGAGGCTGGCATGAAGTTGGGTATCGTCGGCCTGTCAACTTTCAGATTTAAAGCATTCGGATTAAACACGAGGGCAAGCTGCACTTTTTCCTGGCTGCCTGCCTTTGCCATTTCCAATGGCAGCCGACATCAAAAGATAGGGTGGCAATCTTTTGCCTGGGAGGGCAACGGAGATCTCCAAAACCTATTTCAGACTTTAGGATCGGCTATGGAACAGACACTGTTTGTTTGTTTGTATGTCTTGCGTGCAGTTTTTGGGGGCCAATCGAAGGTGCCAGCAGCGGGACCACTGGGTATTTCTCAAAAACCGGGTTTCCCTTTTCTCTCTTGGGACACTAAAAAGGACACCTGAAGGACTTGGTCCCTGTTTGATTTGCAAACAAGCACACCTTCAGGTGGATGCCAAAATCGTGGATGGGCGCAAAACAGGGACTTGAATTTTCCATTTCTCCCCCTTTGGTTCGCCCACCTTTTTGTTGAAATGTGTCCACTCAGGAAAGTGGCACCAACGAGCTAAGGGAGTTCGGATACATAAAATGCTGCCCCCGGATTTTCACTTTTGCTTTTTTCCAGTTTTCCCCCGTTCATGGTTGTCGTTGGGAAACAGTGCACATTTCTGCTTACGGTGGTTTAGTGGTTGAAATCCCCACTGAACTGCTGAAATTGTAAAATGTTTTGCTCCCCAAACCCAACGTCAAGGTTCGCCCATCGTTTTGCTGAGTTCCAAGAGCTCGGACCCAAGTGAGTTGCCAGGTGCACCTGCGCAGCGACCTGGGCTCGCTGCGGCGGGTGCAGCGCCTGCTGCTGGGTTTCTTGGGCCTCGATGGGACGCGGGCTGAACCCTTTGGGTTTTCCCTACAAATGAACCAAACAACGCACGTCCACCAAAAGTTTGGGGTTTTCCAAGATGTTTTTTTTTTTCTTTCTTTCTTTTTTTCTTTGTTTTTAAAGGGTTCGCGTCAAGGTTGCGCGAAATACGGGCCGGCCTTGTTTTGAGGGTACTCGTTTTTGGTCGTTTTGAAGGCGAAAGGACAAGCCGTCATTTTTCAGGCACCGACTGAGTTGGGGAGCCAAGGAGCCCAGCTACTGCAAAGGACAGGGAAAGGATGGGGCAAGGGGCCCCTCTAAATCGGTGAGCCGAAAAGGGTTCTAATTATTTGTCAATTATAGGGTTACTGGTCCTAGGGAGCGGAACTCGCCAATATTTGTGTGCTTTACCGGCCACAATTGCTGATGTTTTCACAAGGGAGCTGAATGGATGATCTCGCTGTTTCTTTAGCGGCCCTATTTAGCACCCCGATATCCCATGAGGTTCAAATGTGGTAACTGCAGAACTCACTGGCCATGTGGTTTGGAGCATCCCGAATATTCCGGCTTTAGAACTTTAGCATTTTGATCCGTGGCACTCGAGGGTCCAACTCCCTATTTTGACCAGGGCCATGGACTTGTGGACTTGTGGGGGGGCCATAGCCCTTATTTTGACACACACACACACACGTGTGTATATATATATATATATATATATATCCTTGCCCGAGGTATGATTGCCTCGGCCCGCCGGAATTCCAGCGACCCCAGCGCGGTCCAGAAGCTACACCGGGCCATCGTGGAATCCGGCACCTGGGCGCCACATCTTTGATCGCTGAGGGATCGAGGGACTTGGCTGGATCGGTGTTACGCCCCAAGGAGTCCCAGTGTCATTTCGGCTCAGATTTGAAGAGGTTCAGAAGGGGAGGGGCGGGTTGCCACTGTACCAAGGAACGTCTCATGTAGAATTTGTCATTTAGAAGGTTGACCATTCACAGAAGTGAAGTGGGGGAGTTGCCCCTGGTTCGGGGTATAGGTGTGTGTTTCTTTTGGTCTTGCTTGACCAGAAGGTGGGAACACCACTGGCAGCTTTGTTTGAGGCGCGCAGAGTTGCAAAGCTTTGGCTTTGCTGCAAGCTTGAGAGTGGGTTGTGTTTTCCGTTTTTATTTAGCTGCTTTATTTTTTTCCGTCGAAGGTGCACTCAATGCTCCCGGACTGAGACAAGAATGAGACTGCAATTGTACACTGAACAAGCACGATGCATTCACAAGGCAGCATCATTGTGTGCCATCTTGATTAGCAAGGCGAATTCGGCCAAGAGGACGTGCTTGGGGGTTTGTTTTTTTCGTCATGCGGCTGAGAACCTTTTGCAGGATGTCAGTCTTTGCGGCGCTTGGCATTTCGGGTAGGCAGTTCGACGGCAAGGACTCTAAACCGGTTCAATGCACGGCTGCTCTTGGGTTGGTTCCCGGGACGATCGAGAGCTCCGAGTGAAAGGTTTCCTGATGGGGACGCTCCGATTGATTTTTCATGGATCCGTTTTTACTTTTTCCCTTGGGCATCATCTAACATTTGCAGCTTCGCTCAATCTGGGCCAGAATCTAAAAGCCATGGTATTTTAGTGGTTTATTTTTCATCAGGTCAAACATTACAACGGAGAGAAGCAGATACAAGGAAACAACAGATGCGGTTGTAGTCATTCCCATGGGTCAAATTCTGCAGCTGGCTTCAGTGGTATCCTGGATCCCGGATCTGCCATGGTGCTGGTCACTGTGCGGGGCCTCAACGGTGATGTGCTTCTGGGCCCAGTGGAGGTGGATGGCGCGGCGGCTCGGCCCAACACAAAACACTTGGGGTCTGGGAGGGTTCCCGGCGTCCCTGGTCTATTCAATGTCAGCGTCCTCGATTCTAGAGACCCTGATCGTCCTACGTTTTGACTTCAAAGATCACCTTTGAGCCCCTTTGAAGTGAGTCCCTTCGGGTGATGTTTAGAGGGGAAATATAGGGACCCCTGGTTTGCGGTGCAGCCGTTGCCAGCACATCTGTTTCTCAGTGTTAAGAGCCTACAGCTTCATCCGTTCCTCACCGGAAGGGAATTGTGCCATTCTGGCACGTGGGGTAGTGAGCCAGACCTAGCAAACTGCCCCCGAACCCTTCTCCCACTATTTTCCCGGGCTAAACATAAATTGCGGCCTCATTCATGCCGGCGAAAGGGGGGGGGTTGGGGTCGGGGCGGGGGGTGGATCCTATGCAAAATGTCAAAGGCAACGATCAGCCACCGCTTTTTGCAGTCTTCATTTTTTATTCACTGCTACTACCAGACCTGACCTACCAGTCACCGACCAGCCAGCACTGCCTGGACCGCAAGGGCAACCAGGTTGCGGTCAAGGTGACTTATCAGGAAATAGGAAAGGAGGAGCTTTCCGCAAGGGATGCACATGGGCGTTTCTCAAATGGTGAACCCCTTTTCTGCTTGAATTTAACAAGAGGGAAGAACGGCAGGAAGTCATCCATCTTAGATGACGCATGGATTTTGGGCGCAGAATGGAATGCACCCTGTGACTGGTGGCCTGTTAGGCTGGTGGGCTACGAGCTGCGAACACAGGAAATGCGCCAAAATTATGTCCAGTGTGGCTTTGTTTGAGCAGCATGGTCGCCACGCCGACGCACGTAGGCCCTCACGGCTGTGCATGTTGGCACATGTTGAAGCAGGACTTGGAATCAGACGGATGCTCAAGCATGAAAACAGGATTGCAATCAAACAGGCAGCGTAAGCTCAGTATTGAAAGTAAGCCACTCACATACCGTGGTAAATACCGCTAAACCCTTCTTTCCTGGCTTTCACTTGCAGGACTTCAACTGTCTGGGTTGCGGAGGGCGTGGCATTAAAGGCACAAGCTTGGCCTTAGGTGTCTGCCAATTTTGACTCCGTGTCATCCCCACATGCCTTACAAACCCTCGCGTTTAGGGTCTGGAATTTGTTGATCTAGCAGCTTTGGATTTAGCTGCTCAATCAGGTTCCGTTTTGGCCTTTGGGACGGAGCCCCCAAACATACGAGGGTTGTATGTCTCAAAGCTTTGATCAACGACGTTCCACTTTGGAGGGCTTCAACACGTTGAAAAGGCACGGTCCGGAAGACCTAGCTCGGATAAAGGGATGCTTTGTTGGGTTACATGTTTGTGGCAGGGCCTCAAACTTGTTTTCCCTTTGCGCTTCCTGTTTGTAGCGAGGCCCTTCTCCAACCTTTGCGCTGCGACGTGCAAATGACGGATCCCCTTCACGAGCACGCACGCGCGCACAGAGACATCCAGAAGCGTCCGTGTGCCTTGCAAGGGGTAAACGAATTCGGGACACCTGCAAACAAGTTGCGGTGGTTGCAAAATGGACCCTGAGTCGGGAGCTTCCCCCCTTAGGAAGTGCTAAGGAGTCGGTTGAGGGCCTCAAGCGCCAGCTTCCGAGTGCGGGGCCCTGGCGCTTGCTGCACGGGGGGCGGTGCCTGCCCCCGAGTTCGACCCTCGCAGGGCTCGGCGAGGAGCTGCCGCTGGGCTCAGGGTGCCCCTACCCGTGGGTTCTCCATACGGAATCCGTTCGCACCGAAGAAACCATGGGAAGCCATTGTTCGTTGGCATTTACAGGGAATCATCATTCCAGGGCTTCTTAGGTGGTGCAGGATGGCGTCCATCCACAGTATGGCCAAGATATGCCAAGATGTTTAAGAGTCAGAATTTCAAGGATGCACCCAGCCTAGCCCCCAGTGGCAGATGGGACCTGAAAAGGCAAAAGGGCCGGTTGCGTTGAACTGGCGGGGTCGGCCAGCGCAAAACGCGCGCGTTGCTTGACTTGGGCCAATCTACAGTGTGCAGCTTCATTTGTGTTGGGGAGACCCACGCATGCGTGTGAGCTTATGAAGGCTTGAGTGTTTTCTTGTGGCCCAGGTGGCTCTTCCATGCTCAGGTTCCATGCGTTTCAGGGGTACTTGTATCTCCCTTAGCCAGTTCCTCTGCTTTAGGAGAGCCATTTGGCATACGCTTTTACGGCGTCCAAAGCGACGTGCTCTTTTAATGAGCCCGGATTGCAACGCCCGCAAGAGTACGGCAACCAGATTGAGGCGCCCAACACTTTTGCTCAAGAGCCGGTTCTTTTGAGCCAAAGCGGTGGTGCCCTTTTTGGAGTTTTGTCTGGGCGACAGGGCGTGTGGCTTTTCTTCATGGACATTTGCTGTCAAATTGAGGAGGTACCCTCAACAGCCTTTTCCAACAAGATTCCCTGTGGGTATTTGTTAGGCGCAGCATTCTGTGAGACTGGCATGTGTTTTTTCCGTGGTGCGCAGTATGTTTGGCGCTGATGCTGTGGATTGCGTGGCAAGCGTAGCATTTTCAGAAACAGTGTCGGTGAATTTCGTAGCAGGCGCCGCGATTCACATTTGCAAGCGCCGCAAGAAGAAACAAAACCCTCTGCGGCGATCGTGTGTGTCGAATGGCTCTCGCAGTGGCGCCGTGCGAGTATGTCTTGAGGTCTGCGAACCCTCTGCGGAGATTGTACGTGCTCTCGATGTGGCGAGGTGCGAGTATTTCTTGAGGTCTGCGAATTCTTTGCGAAGATCGGGCGTTTCGAAGGGCTCTCGCTGTGGCGCCGTGCCAGTATGTCTTGAGGTTGGCGAACCCTTTGCGGAGATTGTGCGTGTCGAAGCGCTCTCGCTGTGGCGCCGTGCGATGTATTTTGGCGAAGGAATGTTTCTGAAAAGTGCATTCTCGCATCTCCAGCTCGAAAAGCGCAACTGTAAAGTGGAACGGCAGCACGCAAATTACACTTCCATATCCGCCGTTTCACCATGTGGGGGGTTTGAAGCAATCTTGGGCGGGCAGCGTTTCAAGACATCAACCTCTGCGAAGATGGTCATGGAGTGAGTCTCTGGTGAAATCCGCCAGGAGTGCAGAAGCAACTGCGCACAGCTTCGCGCGCAGCATCGTGCGCCGCAGCATGCGCAACATGACGCGGAACATCACGCGTAGCTTCACGCGCAGCGTCAATTCACAGCGTCGCGCGCAAGAGAAGTTGACAGGAGAGATAGCATGATGCTAAGCTCGCTCATCAGAACTTCCAGAAGCTTTGCTTGAGCAGAGCTGTTGACGTGTTTAGGTTTTGCCCATCCGGTGGGGAACGTGTTTCTATGCATTGGGGCCATCCATCATCAAGGTTAGCCACGCTCAGCACTATTTAGGGTCTCTTGCCGGGATCATTTTGGCAGGTTCCATTTGAGTTCCCTGAAGCAAAGCCGAAGAGCTCCCGAGGTCCCTGACGGCGGTGGTGTCCCACACCTTGGCCGCGGAGCTCGCGGAGATCTGCACCTCCGCACGGCAGCGGGCGGCGGAGAGTCGGCGCCGGAACGCGGCGTGGCTGGAGGACGGGACAGGGGACTCGTTGAGGGCGGGGAGGGGGGAGGTTGCGCCTTTTTGTCTTTTTATGAAAAGGGGTGATTGGGTGAGGGCGGGGTCCTCATATGCAGGTTTTCGACACATGTTTGGCCCCCTGAGTGAGTCTACTTTGGATGTGATGCAGACATGGTTTTACTTTGTTCAGGGCCGGCTCGGGTGGCGGGAGGGGAAATTGAGAGTGTAGCGCGCACTACAGATGCGTTTTCCCGGCTCATGTGCCGAGGGCAATTGGCCCACTTCGCTGCGCGACTGCGGCCCCTAAGAGAACTTGGCAGGCCAACTTGGCAGGCGACTTGGGCATGCAAAGGGAACCCTCTGCGCGCGCAGCCATTGCAATGAACCCACCAAAACAAGGTTCCTGGTCTTGCTGGAAGCAAGCACGGAGGCTGGCTTTTCAAACGGTCGTCACTGCTTGGGGTCTCTTGCCGGCATAGTTTTTTTGTGGTGGCGGCCCTGGCCTCACATCAAACGGCCTCCTCAACCCGTCGCTGGTGATGCCAGGAGCTGCCAGAGGCCACGGTTCCTCGCAAGCGCCAGAAGCGAGAGGAGGACATCGGGGAGTGCGCCAGAACTAATCCATATTCCAACTGGCGCCCTTCAAGTGGAACTAATTTTAGGGGTCCTCACAAATGTGTGTTTTGTGATCTGTTGGGGTTGTTTTCCTTTGCCGCCAGTGAGAGGGTCAGTTTGGCAATGTCACTTTAGTGGCTGTCCTGGCAGGCACCAAGCGTGGTAAATGCAAGTCACAAATGATTTGCGGTTGAGACGCCCTCCCAGCAAATGGCCCCAAGCCCGGGGTAGCTTGCGCCAAAAGAAGAGCAAGGGCCAGACCCTTTTTGGATGTTGCCGAAACGGTGGCTTTTGGTTTGCTCCGGGTTAATGGGCTCCGCATTCTCAAAGTTGGCAATCGAAGCTAAGGAGTGGGTGTTTGCATGTGGTCTGCAGGCAACTGACGCACAGCCCCTGCAACCAACCCCCGCTTCACATTTGGCACGAGGTGCTCGGGCCAAATCGCCAGGTATGAGCTTGCACTTGCTGATCTCGTGGAGCAGGCGCTTCCGCGCGTGCCAAAAACGCACGGCTGAGCCTGAAGGGATTCGTTTTTTTGGCACACTTCTCTTGAAACCGCAACATGCCCGGGGACTTGGACCCAATTCCTTTGACCATTGGAACTTGTATTCCCCGAAAAAGGCTGGCACAGTGCTCGACATGTTCGACTCTCCGCGGATTTCAGGAGTTAGGCTCGATGTGTGCATGTGTGCCGAACCGTGAACAAACATTTCCGTCCGCGGTGAAACGCGCAGACGAATGCCCCAAGCACCCTTTGCATGCGCGCCGTTCATTTGTGCCATGTCGGACCTTGGGGAAGGTTGCGTATACTTCGAGATGCACAAATGGTCGCCAAGTGCCCGCCTTGCAACTGATTTCACTTGGCGGGAGCTGCTTGTCTCTCATTTCAAGGCAGCCCAGTGTGCATCTGAAGTCAGCTTTTCTACCTTGAACTTGAGACCCTTGCAGATGGCGACGTCTGCCCTGGCAAGCAGCAGACGGGAAGCCAGCAAGGGCAAGGCTACCAGTAACTACGATGCTCGGCTTGGCTTGAAACAGGTGCGCGTTTGATTTCCTAACCTGATTCCTTTGCAGCACCCAGGCTGAATGTAGACAGGAGGTTCAGAATCATGGTGTCGAAGAGAAGGTGGAGGAAACTTTTCCGCTTCGGGGGGTTGTGGATGCAAGTCGCGTGCAGGCCCAAACGCAATCCTTACTTGCACCGTGTTTTTTTTGGCTGTTGGTTGACGTTGAAAGAACAACACAAAAGGACACAGGGGTACCAGTGGCAGAGATGCCCCAGGCTTGCAACAAGTTTCTCGCTTATCGTCAGCGGGGTTGGGGTCTCCTTACACTTTGCTGCTTCAATGCGCCCTTCCTAGCCTAGGACTTTCAGGGGGAAGCGCAGCGCTACGATTTGGGGGCCAAGATGTGGCCCGAAGGTGATGGGGCTGGTGTGTCATTCTGTCATTCTGTCACCAGCGCTTTGAATTTCGAACATCTGAAAAGATTGAGAGCCTATGAAGGTTGTTTTTAATGGAGGCATTCGAGCACTCAATTAATTGCTTGTTTGAGTGCATGTTTGCGCCGCAGCTTACACTAAAGCTCATGTTCATTGTTCAGCGAGTCCCGGCATTCCTGACCCAACACAAACCTGCTCGCCCTTGGAATGACAAGCCCAGAGCAGTTTGCCAACGACTGTTGTCCCACTGGCTGCGTGGCCAGAGTTGCCTATGGGGGAACTTTTGTTTTTCCTGTTCATGTCAGGAAGTCTCCGTACGTTTTTTTTTTTCCCCCCCAGATAGCTGAAAGCTATAGGGGTTCTAACTTCTAATAAAGAAGGAAAAGTGATTTGCGAGATTGAGGGCCGGGTGCTAGGGGGCATGCAGTTTGGGGTGCTGGTGGAGGTGCTGCTTTGCGAGCTTGACGGCCGGGTGCCAGGGGGCATGCAGCTTGGGGTGCTAGTAGTGGAGGTGCTGTTTTGCGAGAGTGATGGTCGGGTGCTAGGGGGCATGCAGTTTGAGGTGTTGGTGGAGGTGCTGTTTTGCGAGATTGACGGCCGGGTGGCATGCAGTTTGGGGTACTGGCGGAGGTGCTGTTTTGCGAGAGTGATGGCCGGGTGCTAGGGGGCATGCAGTTTGGGGTGTTGGTGGAGGTGCTGTTTTGCGAGAGTGATGGCCGGGTGCTAGGGGGCATGCAGTTTGGGGTGCTGGTGGAGGTGCTGTTTTGCGAGAGTGATGCCGGGAGAGTGCCGGGTGCTAGGGGGCATGCAGTTTGAGGTGTTGGTGGAGGTGCTGTTTTGCGAGAGTGATGGCCGGGTGCTAGGGGGCATGCAGTTTGGGTGTTGGTGGAGGTGCTGTTTTGCGAGATTGACGGCCGGGTGCCAGATGTAGTTCGGGGTGCTGGTGCTGTTTTGCGAGCTTGACGCAGTTTGGGGTGGTGGTGCAACTGCTGTGTTGGGTTGCCGGGGTTCTAACTTCTAATGAAGAAGTGGGATTGTTTTGCAAGATCGACGGTTGGGAGCTAGGGCGCATGCACTTTGGGGTGCTGGCGCAGGTACAGTTTTGAGGTGCTGTTCGGGCTGGTGACAGTACGTGACGGCAAGGTGCTCGGTGCTCGGGGACCTGTCCAATGCTGGTGAGGGTGCTGCGTTGGGGTGCTGTTGGGGCTGCTGTCTTGAGGTGTTGGTGACGGTGTGGGCGCATATGGACGGCAGGGTGCTAGGGCGGGTGCTGTTTCATGATGCCGTTGAACCGGTTCGGACGTTGTTGCTACTCTAGTAGTCTAACAGTCGTTTGTCATGGTGCGTGGTTCGTGGCTGGTGTGTCATCATGATGTTGTCACCCGCGTCATGATGCTGCTGTCGCTGCGATGCTGCGATGCTGCGTTATGGTTCGTGGGTGTGGTGGCGCCATGATTGCTGCCAACATCAGGATGATGCTGAATTTCACTACGCTGTCGCGAGAAGATTCGTGGCTGTGGTATCATCATGATGCTGCCTTTTCAATTTTACCATTACCATGATGCTGTTCGCATCACCATGATGCTGTCCGCATCATGGTGGTGCTGTCCGCATGATCGTGATGCTGTCCGCATCATCATGATGCTGTCGAACTCATCAGGACGTCGTCTCTGCCTTTTTTCTGCTGGATATGTCGCGCGGAATCGTTCGTTGCTGGTGCATCAGCATGATGCTGTCAACATCATCATTTTTGCTGCTGAACTCATTAGGACGCTGTCTTCGTGTCTATTTAGCGCACATGCTGAGTGGCTGTGGTGTCATCATGATGCTTTCAACATCATCATGATGCTGTCAACATCATCATGATGCCTCGGAACCATTATGATGCTGCATAATGGTTCGTAGCCGTGATGTGCTATCTGGGGTCTACGCTGGTGTAATTTTATTTTTTTCCGTCGAATTGGGGCTGTTTTTATGTGACCTCAGGTTCTTTCAGTGTTCCCGGGATTTGCGCCACGAGCCGGTGCTGCGGGGCTGGTACTTCACTGAGAATCCGGAAGACTTGGTGGCCTGGTGGGATGAGCGGGGGGTCATGGGCATACTCCCCAGGGCAGAGCATTTCGTCTTCTGACATTCTCTTTGGGGCTGTTGAAAGGGGAAACCAAGCAAAACCACCAATTTGAAGGGTCCCCCTATTCTTTGACACCCCCAAACAAAGTTCTGGCCGGAACGCATGTTGCCAGGCTGAGGTGGTCCCAACCTGGCTTGGTCCGCTTGATCCTATGAGCCCAAGCTGTGATATTTTCCCAAACCATGGGGAAGTCTACAAGGAGGGGGGAGTGATGCCTGGACATGGTGCGCAAGGGCCAGGGACGCGCTTGGCTGTTGAGGCCTTTGTCATTTGACTGAGGGTGGCGTTGATGCCGATTTGGTAAACCCTCATTGGGGGTGCCCCCTTTTAATGAAGATTCATCACTTTTGGCAGCAAGATCGCCAGGGAGCAGCACTTCCAGGAGCTGAGTAGCCCAGACTTTTGGGGCAATGGCCACAGCGTAGGTTCCATGGCTCTAGGCGACTTCTACATAATTTATGTGAGGTAGGTAGCCGTTGTTTGGCCATGGCACTGAATTTGTCAAGCATATGGGGGCCCTTGCTCGACTAAACAAACCACTGGACTCCAGCCATGCGGAGTAGGCCATCACAACAAAATCCCCCATTTGACATGCCCGTGAGGGGATTGTCAGCCACGTCGCCAGAAGTATGTTGCGTGTCTATTTGGCCAGCTCTTGGCTTGAAGGATGGGTGGTCGCCGCGCTGAGGACACACCCCAAGAAATGAAAATGGGCGAGCGCCGTTTCTACGGCTGGGTCACGAGTCCCGGCTGTAGGTTCGACGGTTGGTGGCATGTCCTTGGCCTTGTGGGTCGGGGCGGGCTCAATACGCGGCCCGTTGCGCCCATGCTTCGCATGCCAAAATAACCTGCATTGCTTGACAATGGAATATGCAGCGACCTTCAGGAATGATTCATTGCGATTCTTTCTTTTGGATTCATCGTGCATCTTGTGGAATCCCTGGTAAATAAACTCATGATTCATTCATGGTGCCCCTGTTCCGAACTCGGGTGCCCTGCAAATTAACAAGGCGTGCCTAAGGTCAAAGTGTGGCAAACAGCTGGCGCACCAGCCATCAGCTGGTGCAGGCCCTGTGTCTCTTCCTCTACTGGCTTGACTGCAAGCACCAGCGATTCCAGTTACAGCAGCTGACTAGGTGAAATGTTCTGTACCTCGGCTAGAAACATAAAAGAGCGAAGCGGCCTGCAAATTTGACTAAACTGGAGTGGGCACAGCACTGACAAAGCCAGGCTCCCTCTCTGAAGCCCAACCAGCTTCCAACTGCCCCTGAGGAAGATTCTCCGACCGTGGCTCGGCACAATGCTCAATGATGAAGAGCCTGGCTTTGCTCCAAGCTGAGCAAGGGACACGCCACATGGGGGACAACCCGAAAGTCATCTCTTGAAGGTTTCGCGACCCTGCGCTGCAGCTTCAAACTGTCAGAGCCCCGCTCACACAAAAGGACAACGCACTGTGTTTGTACGTTATCTATGTATATATATATATATTATGTTTGTTTTTTTTCATGTAATCGCAGAGAAGTCAGGCAGAAGGCGTGTGACTGGCATTGTGATACCTTGGGCCATGTGCTTTTTAGTTGGGACGGTTTTCTCAACAAATGGTCCCAGCGCAAACAGCTCTACAATTATGAGGCTGGCCTAGCCAGATAGAGGGTGGCATAAATTGAAGTAATTGCGCCAACTAAAGCATCTGCACGCCAGTTTGAAATTGCGCATTGCATATGCGCTCTTGCCCCAAAATGACTTTGAACCTTGCTTGGTTGCCTGATGTTGAGACGATTAGGGCGATGTTGAGCAGCTGTCTTTTTGGGGTGGCTTAGGCAGGCACCAGGGAGGTTTGCAGCGCCAAGGAGGGTGATGGCTTACCTGCGGCAGATGGATCTCACGGTCAAGGAGGACGTGCAGCTGCTCAGTTGTGCACTGGCCCTTTGTTCCTTTTATGGTTCATGGACAGCGGCAAACCTTAGTGCGATAGCCTCGCAGTTTTTCGCGGCGGCCTCTGAGCGTGGCTAAGGACGTGCCACGCATTCACGATCCAATGGCAAGATCCCGATGCCTGACAGCTGACCGCGACTAGCCTGGCCACTCCTGCGGCAATCGCCCGATGGATTCGGTTGCAAAGGGGGCCTTGCGTGCTGCGGACAGATCGCGTCGTGCCGGTTCATAGATGCAGGCAGGGCTCCCCCAGAAAAAAAAAAAAAAACATATTTGGAAAATGGCTCACGTTCCACGCTTGTTTTTACAAGCGCTATTCAACAACCCTCCTATGCACATAGCCAACCAAGCGCTAGCGTTGTTCAGAAGACGAATGGATCAGGAATCTTTATTACTACTTTGGAGGGGTGGAGTGGTGGCGATCATACCAGCAGTTTGGAAGACAATGTGCTGCTACATTGCTACAGTAAAACAGGGCAAGTCTATGGGTTTCAAGGTCTCCTCAACAAGATCAAAAAGGGGGTGGGGCAAGCCCCATCGAGGCTTTTCAGTTTGGAGCAACCGCTTGGTAGTGCCGCCCTATCCTTGGATGAGTTCTGTCTTTTTTTTGGGCCAAGAAGATGCGGGGGCATTTTGCACCCTTAGGAGTTCTTCTTCCCCGATTGCACCAACCCGCCTAATCAATCAGATGCTTGTGATAAGGAATGTTTTGCCCCTTGTCTGAGGTGATGTTTCGTATTGGTTACGATGTCCGTTTAAGGCCGGTTGCCAACGGCAAAGCCGACTGCTACTTTGTTTTGCTCGGGGAAAGGATGAGATGTCCCCAGGCCCTAGTTACTAGTTCGACTTGAGTTTGGGCGGTCCGCTTTCCTGGGGTTTATCATTAGGGCGATCTTGGCTCTTATGGCTTCGGGACTGGATGGCGAGCACAGTGGAACACACGGGATTCGCAAGACATGAGGCCCATGCATTCGGCACTAGCAATTGGCTCAAGAGCTGCCAGAGCCGTTGGCATGTTCTCTTCCGAAGCCCCGCGCCTGCAGATGGGTATATGGGTCCAAATTATACCACGAAAGGACCGCAGGTTTTAGTCCTTGGTTCCATTTTTGGTTCCAATTTTTGACCCACAGCCAGATAGCAACTGCGATTGCTGCGAGGTCAAGGTTCGCCCAATGCGAGGTGGGCAGGTGACCTTTTCGCTTGTTCCGTTCAACGGTTGCCTGTGTTTCTGATTTGTAAGACTGAGCCGAGTGCTAAGAACCAAGTCTGGTTTGAGTCTTAGCTCGGGTCTTTGATAGTTGTTTGTTCACCATGGAGAGCTTCTGAAAGCAAAGAAAGCATTACTGTTCAAGCAGCGGCTGCCAAGGCAAGCGATGTCACATGTGATGAGACTGCCTCCCTGCTGCAGCTCGCGTCAGCCCGGGAGCACTTGATGTTTGATGAGTCAGGCCGGGCACACCTGAAACAGAGGAGCGCTGCAGACTCTAAACACCAGGAATGCGTGACTCGCAAGTTGGCGTAGTTAAAGTTTTCAATCAGGTTGGGAGGTTGGGTGGTGATATCCAAGCTTTTTCCCTAGAAGAAGCGTAAGGTCGACTTTGCCAGAATGTTGGCAAGGCACATGGGGATGGGGGTCTTGAGGTAGAAGGTAAGGTGTAGTTTGTTTCGATTTTGGCCCCGGTGGGGAGCTGTGTTTGACTCGTGCATTTGATTTGGATTGGCGTGATTGCTGCTTGTTGATATCACCTTAGCGGGTTCCTGTTGTAGGCATGACGTTCGGTCATAGTAGCTAGGATGGGCAGCGCAGGTGTGGCGTCTTATGTGTCAACATGGTGTTTGGGCTGGATCGGTTGTGTGTATGCACTTGTGTTGAAGGTGCTGTAGTTTATGAGCACGAGGACCGATTCAGTATCGCAGAGCAGCTGCTGAAACCATTGCTTCAGGAATTTAATCTGGGTTCGATCATGGGATGAGAAAGCATCATTGTCATCTCAATAGATTGCGTTGGCGGTTGCCGCAGAACTTGCAAGCCTTCACCGTGCCGAGAGCAGACGAGAGCCGTTTGCTGCATGCATTGCGCTTCGCATCGAGCATTAGCATCGAGCAGGGCTCCTCGAATCTGGGAAGGGCTTGTGAAGGGTAGGGCAATGAGCCCCGTTCCCCTTATGCCAACGGTTTGAGCAACACGATTTGTTTGCCCCCATGGCGGAACAGATTTAGATCCTAGGTTCGAGCTGAATGAAGCAAAATCCAGCCCTAGGATCCCTAGGCGTCCATCGAACATGTTTTGCGCAGCCAGATGCGTGGCCATCGCAGGATCTTCCGTTGACACCCGCAGTGACAAAGGACCGGAGCTCAGATGCGATGTCGCCACCCAAAACCTGTGTTCCTCCGTTTTCCTTTTTGGGAATTGCATCAGTGGCAGCTTCGATGAACACTAAACTGATCAACTGTTGAGGAAATTCAGGTTCGTCCCCCTGAAGATGCCGCCAGCTGTCAACCGCATGGACAGAACCAACTGAATCCGCTTATTCAAGGATATTCAAGATTATTCAAGATTATTCAAGGGCTTGCCTCAAGTTTGCCGGTGAGGGGGGGTTCCCACAGCACCGTTTCTTCTGACCCCTTTTGCCTGTGTTCGCTTGGTTGGCACCTGAGGATCTTCTTTTCCTTGTCGTGGCTTGTGACCAAATCGCCCCAGAAAGCCATCGGAAACAAGGGCTTTTTCGAGCACCCCTACAAATGAATATGGAACCCCGAAGGGGCTCACCCAGAAGGAGTGTCCTCTACAAATGATGGTTTGTTGGGCTCCGGCCATTAATCTGTGGCGGGGTAAGCCGACAAAAGGCAATCGATCCTGAAGCACCCAGCGTGCTTTTTTGTTTGGGTACGAGAAAAAACACTCGAATTGCCGATTTCTGCTCACCCCCCGAGAAAGCGCTCGATCAAATCCTTCCTTCCATGCGGAGGAAAGTGGGCAATTGCTACTATTTGTAATTTGCACTCGTTTTGCGGATATTTGCGCTCGTTTTGCACTTTGATTTCTGCTCACTCCTTTCAGCGACCACGCTCGAAGCAGGAAAAAGTGTACGTTTACCAGATATTGTGGTGACGACCCCTGGTTTTGCAATATGCTTGGGCTAAGGGCAGAAATTTAGGTACTGAAGGGTGCTCCAGGATTAGCTCGTTTCTTTCCCAATGGCTTAGTGGGCACCTTCACATCCAATTCTTTGTTTTGTGAGTTTGTGTTTTTCCGAAACATGGAATCAACCCAGAAAATAAGCTTGTACTCAAAACAGGAATTAACCCCCAGGGTCTTATCTAAGAATGGGTTCAACGGCGAAACAGTTTTCACCAAAAATCGGGATCACACCCCACGAAACGGTTTTGCCTAAAGTGGAATAAATCCCAAGAAAGTTGTTTTTATGTTACCTAAAACTGGAATCAACCCAGAAAAAGCTTTACCTGAAAGTGGAAACAAGCCCAAAGCAGGTTTTTACCTACCTGTTGTTGAACAATTATTCACACCCATTTTTGGTTTAATCTAACGATGAAATCAACACCAGCAAAAGTGTTACCCAAAAACACCGGAATCAATTCCACATACTGCGTTTCTTTGCTTTCCTAAAATGGAAGCAACCCAAGCAGGATTTCTAAAAATGAAACGCAAGGTTTTGCCTAGAACTGGAATCAACAAACAACATTCACTGCAAAACGGAATCCACCCCAAACAAATGGGATCAACCCCAAAACGGTTTTACCATCCCCCATTTCAGAAAAATGCATAGGGGGACCCAGGTACCCTGTGCATTTTTGTTTTATGCATTTTAAACCGTGCATCTTTGCGGGCCGTGCCCGGTATGTTGACAGCTGTGCCTGGGCTGTTGAAGCTGCACCTGGGCTATAGAAAGCTGCGCCTGGGATGTTGATTGCGGCTATTGAAAGCTTGGCCTGGGCTGTTGAAATATAATATGTCCGTGGCTCGCTTTGGTTGGCGGTTGCCTGCTGTGCCTGGGATGTTGAAAGCCGCGCCTGCGATGTTGATCGCGATGCCTCGGCTATTGAAAGCTTGGCCGGGGTCGTTGACAGCGATGTTTGGGATGTCGACGGCCGTGGCTGGGCGGTTGCTCGCTTTGGTTGGTGATTGTTTGCTGTGCCTGGGCTGTTGGCTGCGCCTGGCATGTTGGCGCCTGCCTCAGCGCGTGCTAGCTGCATCGTTGTGCGGGCGCTCTGTGCTTTCGGACAAATCCGCTTGCGAAGCAGATTCTTGGCCGCGCAAGCAGATTTTCATCAAAACATCCGCCGACGGGCTGGCAAATCCGCCTGCCCCGCAGCCGGTAGCAGATTTGGTACACACTGGCGACAAGACGTTTCCATCAGGCTTTAGTTCGTGTTTTTCTGTCAAGGTCTATTGCGAGCACACACACACACACGAACACCCCCCCCCCCGAACAGCCAAACAACCAACCAACCACCAAAGAGGGCACCGTCCAAACACAAAGAAGCACAGCACATATGTGCGGGATTGCGTTGGTGAGTTTGAGGGATTGCCTGGCGCAAGTGTGGACGTTAATGCTGCCCCTTTCCAAGGGCGCGAAAATGAGGGGGGGGACCTCAAAAGTGCATATCTGCATTTTGCAGGTCCCCCTCATGAATGGGGTTTGCCAATGGAATCAGCACACAAAGTTTACCTAGACATGGAAACAACCCAGCAAATGCTTGCCTAAAAATAGATTCAGCCCAACACGGTTTTACCCAAAATCGGAATCACCCTCAACAAAGGTTTTCGTAGAGTTAGAATGAACCCCCCAAAAAGGATTTGCTTAAAAATGGAATCACCTTCAGCAGCACAAACGTGGTTTAACATGGAATCAACCCCCAACAAATGTAACTAAAGATAGAATGAACCCCAATATTTTTCTTACTGAAAATGGGTTGAATCCCAGAACATGTTAACCTAAACATGGAATACGTAATTCAAGAAGGTCTTACCTAGACATGGAGTCAACCCCAAGAACGGCTTTAACTAAAACTTGAAACTACCACAGAAACAAGCGTGGAATCAACCCCAACAAAGGCTTTGCCTCGGAATCAACCCCGACAAAGGTTTACAAAACACCTGAAGCACTCAAGAAAGGTTTCGCTTAAAATGGATTCAACCCCAAAAAGGTCATACCTAAACAGCAAGGTGTTACCTGCAAATGGAACTAACCCCCAAAAATGAATTCAAGCTGTCCATGTGCTGAAGACATTGTTTAATGTTCCTTGTTGCTTTAGAAGGGGCCGACCACCACCTGACATCACATTGTTGGTTTCCGTCGGAACACCTCCAAATCGGGCTCCGCCGTTTTTGAGGGAAGCTGCAATGGGAGCTTTTGGTTGGCCAAAAAGAACCCAACGGAGACCAACCATTTTGCAGGAGCCAACTGCGTTTGAACCCCCCAATTTTCTTTTTCTTCCGGGGTGTTGTGGAGCCCCCCATGTGGGACCCGCAAGTGCCCGTTTCAGGCTACGGGGCCGCGCAGCAGTTCCTGGAGGCCCTGGAGTCATACGCCACGGCCCTGGAACTGGCACCCGCCTCCCGGGGATACCGCGCCTCGGCGAGCGGGTCCCGAGCGGGTCCCGAGCGGCGAGCGACCCACCCGGAGCCGGATTCCGGTTTCCAATGGACGCCAAAAATGAGAACATCAAAACATGGTTTCAAATTGGGTTTCCCTTGTGGACCCAACAAAATGATGTCCTCGGAAAAGGTAAGAGGTCTGTTGTTTTTGTTTTTCTCCGTGGGTGCCATTCTTTGGGGTGGGTTTGAAGGGGAATGAGTTGGAAGCTGCGAATTTTAGGGGATTGTTTTGTATTAGGGGTTCCCCACTTTAAGGGAGCCCCCAATGTGGTGGTTTTTCTTTTGTTTCCCTTTGACATGGACCCAACAAATGATACCATTTGTTTTAGGGTCCCCAATATAGGGCACTTTTTTGGGCTGGGCTGATGAGAACCAAAGGTAAAACAGCGCAAAGAGGTTTCGTTCATTTCAAGACACGCATTTGGGGTTGTCTCATGAGGGACCGTGTCCGATTGAAATTAATTGGCTCTCCCAGCCAAGAAAACGCGAAGGGCTGAGCCGCGCGCGGTTTGAACCACAACCAGACCATGGCTGCCAGGCTCCCACACAATCTGTTTCGAGGCACATGAGGGGAGGCTTTTTGCAGAGCTGGGGCTAGTAAAAAGCCGGGGCGAGTGACCCCACACACAGTCCAATCCAAACGCCGCAACGTTTTACCAAGGAAGCAACTTTTACGAGCAGTTTGCCGAGATACCGCTGCAAAGAGATTACAGCACCTTGGCGCGAATCACGGGAAAGAAGTTGAGCTGCTGGCTGCCAACACTGTTATCGAACGCGAGCTGAGGTGTTGCTGTTCTAGAGGCTTGCTTGAGCTTGTCGCGCAGCCGCGCGATTTGGGCCAATGGCCAGAAGTTCGAGCTCTCTGAAGAAGCGGCAGCTGAGCCACAAAGCAAAGGTTTTTCTTGCAGTTTGCAGGGTGGAATGAGGGTGTTTGATTTTGATTGATGCATGGTCCCTTCCTGAAATCTGCAGCTGGCAGAAGGATGCGCTGCTGCCTTTTCTGGCGTCTTATTTGTATGACCCTTCAGCCTTTCTTTGGCCAGAGGAAAATTCGTGCTTGGCATTGCAGTGCGAGTGGGACCAGCTCCTCTCACAGCTAGATTACCTCCTGCCTTCGCTGGACGAACTGGCATCAGCACGGCATGCACTCAGCACGCTGTTGGACAGCCTCGACCTGAAGTGGGCCGACTTTGAACATTGTCACTTGGTCTTTGGTTCGGCCTGTTGCCTCTAAACCTCTTGGACAAGGACGGTTTCCGGGCGAACTCGACGGTTTAACTTTGTGCGGCTAGACGAATCCAGGTTACTTCATGGAGATCGCGAAGGTCCAGCATAAGGCCAAGGGTCTCGTCATCAAGGCGATCGAAGTAGAGGCGAGCGGGGTGCGCACGATGGGACTCAGAGCAGTGCTGACCCAAAAGTGACAACCCCAATTCATGAAGCAGGGGTAATTTAGCAGTTTTTCCGGAGCTTCCCTTAATCAATGTGCAGGTGGTCAACTGTCTTTTTTGTGTTTGTTTCTCGGTGCTCGAGTCTCGGCGGCGGTTTCCCGGAATCCGAGGCTGCGGTTTCGCGCTTAGAGGAGGCGAAACATGTGGACGAGCTGGAGGAGAGCGCGGAGTACCAGCTGCACGTGGGCGCATTGGTGGAGTGCATCACTCGGCTGAATGTTGCCGCCAACATGCAGAGGACGCCTGGTGAGTGTGGCTTAAACATGAGAATGATGTTGCGCCACTTTAGGCTGCGGAAGTGTGGTTTGTCAGTAGCAGAGCCACTTCTGGCGAGAATGGGAAATCGCCGTGAAAGTGGCGAGGTAGTTATAGGGATGACCCAAATTTGGTATCACGGAAAGGGTCATTTCCCACAACCATAATTGCTTCGGATGCAAAAACTCAGGAATTAGAGACGATGATCTCCCGTTTTTCATCAGGTGTTGATCCATTGTACGAGGACCCGAGTGATTTGCATTGGCATGGCGCTCTACGACTGCAATCTCAATACCCTCCCACTTGCTGAGGGAATCTGGCTGTTGGCCACTGGGGGAGCATGAATGTCTGTGACCCATTGGACCTGGTGAGTCCCTAGGTGTGCTTCGTGACAGATTGCTGCTGTATCAGCCACGCGTTCTATACAATTTGGGTGTAAGTGAGGCGGGACCACCCCTCCCCCCATTTCCCCTTGGGCTCACCAAGTGCGGAGAGGGACAAGTTATGCTTACCCCTAGAATCATGACTAGTTGTGAAGTGCCCCACACCATTCTAATCATTTTGGCGCTCATTTTCTTGGGGATCCCTGCGCTCATGGTTTGAGTGGAGAGCCTCAACCCTCTTCAGAATGTTGGAGGTTTCTCCAGACTGGAGCCAGGTGACCAATGGCTCAAACAAGGATCCCCCTTTTGTTCAGGTTCAGAAACCGCCAACCGTGCACCTCAGAAAAAAACCGTTCTGCCGTCCCGTCCAGGAGGAGCTTCGATGAGCTCACGGCAGAGGTCCGGGAGCACTCGGAGACGCTGCTGCGGATGTGCGCCATCGATCCGGAGACCCCGCTGCAGGCGGCCAGGGCCCTTGCACGGCAGGCGGGGAATGAATGGGACTCCGAAAAGGGCGGCGTGTTTGTCTTTGCTGCCTTTTTTGCAGCTTTGTCAAGGTTCAAAAGCTGCAACGTGGGTTATGACCTCGGTGGGAACCTCGGTAATTGAGCTGTAGAAAGTTGCGCCTGTTTCGTTGGTCTCGGTCTAGTTGCCACAAATTGGATGAAGGGTGGTGGTAAGAGCAGAAGGCCCAAACGGCATCAGGCCCCTAAGGGTAGTTGCGTGTTCCCACAGTGGGCTGTAGCAGTTGAGAGTAGCTCGGGGCTGGCTTCGGGTGAGTGTTGGGCTAGCTGAGCATTTAGGCTCGGCAAAGTGCTGATATCCAGAATGCTGTTGTGGACTTTGGGCCTGTTTGGGTTGGCTGGGGGCTGATTTGCGCCATTTGTGCGGCTGCGGGACGTTGCCCCAAACTACCCAAACTAGCCCAAATTCCCGCAACCACGGCTACCCTAAAGCCACTGCTAAACCAGCCGCGCGCCTAGCACAAATCAGTCCCAAGCCAACCCAAACCGACCAAAATCCACTCAACTCACCAGCCGACAGCATTCTGGACATCAGCCCTTTGCGAGCCTCAATGAACCCCACGACCCGCCCCAAGATCTCAGCAAGCCCAACACGCACCCGAAGCCAGCCCCAGTGCCCTAGATGCGGGCCAAGCTTGGTGTTTGGACGCGTTTAGGCGATCCTCGACTATTTCAAGGTGCCTGTCGTACGGTTTGTTTGAACCTTCGCTTTTAGTACCGCTCTGCGAACATCCGAATTCACCGCCTGGACCACTGGAGCGCCGAAAAGGTGAGAGACTCTCTTGTCTCGATTTCTTCAGGCCAGGCAGCCCAACTTGAGAGCCAAGGAGTTGTGCGAGCTGGGGCTAGCAAAAAGCCGGAAAGAGTAAACCAAATGCACCTCAACCCTGGGAGTCTAGGGCCTGGTCGTTTAAACCCAATTTGCTCAACGGTGCCAACCAGCACCGCCTCAGAGTCTTCAAAAGGTGAGGCCCAGCCCGCCACCGCTGTTTGCGACAGGCCTTGGACGCCTTCGAGGAGCTCAGATGTTACTTGCGGCGACTTGCAGAGGACGGGCAGTTCCTTGGCGCCTGTTATGTTTTCCTGAGTGCTAAACCAACAGTCAAAAGGATATGGTTAATTGTGTATGTTACATTTCCCTTCTGTGATGGTCTGTGGGCAATGCCTGAGTGACATGCTAGTTTGGCCTGCTTTTTGGCCTGCTTCGCAGCCGCCTGCTTGCCTCCTTTGACAGAGCACAAATCAGGCGAATGATGGTTTCAGAGGCACCCCTATCGGTTGGATCCAATCTTGTGTCCCGACCGGGCAACGGTCAGAGCGGACAAGCGTTTGCCCTAAAGCCCCAAACCTTTGACCTTTGGATCAGCAAAGCACAAAGTTCGGCCGCTCCACGCTGTTTTTTGGCGCTCAGTTTTCTCGACTACAGGGTCTCCACAGTAGTTTGGTATTTCCCCCAGATTGATGGACGGACCCCTACACAACATCCATTGACACTGCTTTTCCCGGTGTGCTCCTCTGCAGGTTAAATGACGCAACCCGAAAAACACCAGATTCCTTTGCTCCCGCTACTGATTTAATACATGTATAATATATATATATAAATTATATATATATATTATTTTTAGTTTGCTCCCCGGAAGCCGAACCGATCCCTTTTTAGAGGAGTCTGCCACAAGCCGAGCCATTTTGGGTTCTATGTTGATTTCAAGGGATCTTTTATGGCTTGGTAAGTCGGTCCTATTCCACGGAGACTGAGGCTGGATGATCTTAACCCCCAGCTGTGTCAGAACGAGAACCTAGTGGCGGCCTTGATGAGATGGGAGGCGCGATTCGCGAAGACCAGAGTGGGAAACACCAACGTTTTAAAGGGGGGGGCATGGGCGGGTGGGGTGGGGGGGGAGGGGAGGGTCCTGGGCCAACCTCAAGCAAGGCGGTTGTTGGCTTCTGCACTTCTGCTGGCTTTTTCCCTTTCAGCTCGCAGAGTTGCCCACGTGTTGTAACAACTCTGCGACCGGCTGCAAACTAAGATGGATCCTAAAAGGGTCCCCACAATGTCCCCACAAAAACGAAGCTCTAAAGGACGCTTTTGGAGGGCAATTGCAAAACAGGGAGAAGCCACGACTGGCATTGACCTGGCAATTTGCCGACATTGTTACGTTGACACTGGGGATGCATGTCACGCATGTACAGAATGTACAGGGCAGTGTGGGGAACGCACCCCTTCTAGTACTATTTTCATTTAGCAAGAGTTGCTAATAATGACAGAAAAGAGGGAGTAATGAAAGAACATGTGCGAGGCAATGACGTTAAAGATTTAGCACTCTTTTTCGCATCTTCAGATCCAAAAGATGTTCTTCCCGGGTTTTAAGTCCCTGCCAGGAGTCCTGGATCATCGTGGCGCGGTATATCCAGGACCGGCCCGCCCTCGGCGCACTCTGCAAGCTCATCCCTCGCTTGGTGAGGGCCACCCAGCTCCTCGACTCGAACCACCCGCGCGCGAATTTTTTTTGTTTTTGTGTTTTTTTCGGAGCGATCCGGAGCGATCCGGAGTCATGATTCGTGACTTGGCGGCTCCCAGTTATCCCCTGAGCTTTGTAGCCTTGTAGTGCTTAGTGGCAGTTTCCATCTACTCCACTAAAAGTTTTTAAGCAAATAACGGGGGATCTGAGGGCGGCCCACAAGAGTTCATGAACCTGAGCATGCAGAGGATTCTGGAGGGTTCCTTTTGAGGCGGATTTGTTTCGCCACTGTTCAGTACCTCAGCCATATTCTTGAAGGTGACGAGGGGATTCCTGAATTTTGTTAGGGGCTTGTTCACGTTCCTTCGGAGATTCTAATCAAGGCTTGCACACCAAGCAGGGCCCACAATTTTTGGGGGCATCCCTTGTAAAAAGTGTTTTTTTCTCGCATTGCAAGGTCACTCACATGGGTCATAGTCTAAGAAGAGTTGCTTTGGGGGCAGAAGGCTACCCCTCGGAGCCCAGGTTCTCAGAAGCCTTTCAAAGCTGTCTGTGAAAGTTCTAAGAACCCCCTCAATAGGGAAGCTGAGGGTACGGATCTCTAGTTCATGCTTTTCGTTTGGTGTTTTTTCCTTCCCACTGAAGGTGAATTTCCCAAAGGGGTGATGTTTACATGGGAAATAGGGCATGTGTCAAGTTGTTCGGCCCCCCAAAATGGTGGTTTTCCTGGTGGGTTTCACTTCAAAGATACAGCCCCTCCAAAAAAACGACTCCACGGTTTGAACCGGGATGCCTTCGAGGACGCGGGTTTTTCCGTCTCAGGCTCTCAGACAGCTTCGCGCAGATGTGCTGCAGCTTTGACGCGGAACTGTTCCTAGTGCTGCCGCGGATTGTGCGGCACGGCTCGGTTTTTGGAGGTGAAACCCACGCTTAGATCCGTGTATGGTATGCTCAATGGTTCCAATTGGTTTACATGGGTTCTCCTCACAAGCCGGAAGGTTTGCACGTCGAGGTGGCTCTCCTACTTGGCGGCGCCGGAGAGCTTGACGGGCTTGATCTCGAACCTGCTGCCACACAGCGCCCTGAGTATGGAGCTTGGGCTCTGGGGTGAACCTAGGTTTCGTAAGCCTTGCTAGACTGAGGGGGTCTGGGGGTCGGCCCGGTCGCAAAACCAATGAAATATCCCCCCGCCCCCTTCGACTCCCCCCTAGTCCGCCCTCTGGTCCCCCCCTGCTGCGTGCCTGATTGGCAGCTTCGCTCCTTTTGCAGCTCTTTTCGCTCGCTTCACTTCACACTTCGGTCCGCTTTTCGCACTGTTTTGCTCGTCAAGCACCTGAATGGTATTCGATGCAAGCCCCTCCTTCCTTTCATTAGGGGGACCACTTTACGGTATCCTACCTTTCGTGTCACCCCTTCTCAAGTGGATCCAGCATTAGAAGTGGCACACGTAACATGTGTGATGCTCAATTACCTGATTAGGGCCGTCCCTCAGGACGTTCAATACTTTTTGGCATGGAATTCTGAGCGTGGAGCCCCCTTGACCTTGTTCTCAAACAGCAAGCATGTGCAAGATCCACAGTGGTTGCTTCATGGAAATTTTGCTATTGCCAACCCCCACCCCCCTCTGATTTGCTCAGTTGTTCAGTGCCCCTGTTTCCCTCATTGCTTGGCGCGAATTCCCCACGTTACAGCTTCCTTTCGCCCAAAGCCGCTGAGCAGGTTTTGGGCACGTCGCTTGCTGAGGGTTCGTGCGGGTCCCGGTCTACTCGGAGCTGCGGAGGGCCGGGGAGGCCCAGCTGCGGCAGCTGCGGCGGGAGCGCTCGGAGCCGTCGCTGGGGGACGCCTGCGCCCCGGAGCTGGTGGTGCTAGGCGCAGCTTTGCAGGGATGTTCCCTCCGATAGTTTTCCCAGGGCGGGAACCTTAAGGTGGTTGCAACTTGAGCTCTCAATGTTTTTATTTTATTATTATTATCCTTGTTCTTATTATTACTACTATTAATTATGTTGTTATTGTTGTTTGTCTTTGTTTTGGAGAACGCCACATTAATCGCAAGATGAGCGATCTTTTTCAAGGTTGTCAACCAGTGAGTTGGTTGGCAAGATGAGAAGTGTAGCTAAGTGGCTAATGGGTGGAAGTAGGGCGAGCCAGCCTGATGTCAAAACATTGCGAACATATACTTTTGGGCCAAACAATTTTTGCTTATCCCATTGACAGTGTACGTAAACACAAGTATGATGGCTGAAACTCAAGTCGTTGTTTGTGCTTCCTTACTGTCAGTCACTTAGCAAGTAAGTGGCCTTCTGATTTGTGCGCCTGGTAACATGGCTTGTCAGGACAGCACAAATGATTGGAATTAGCAATCCGTGTGCGTTCCTTGCAGCATTGCAGGCACAGACGCCTCCTTGAAGTCGCTCCAGACAAAGTTTAACGAGGTGAAGCTGATCCTGGAAGGGAGCAGGATGAACCCACACGACGCCGACGCGTCGGCTTGGGGCATGCTCTTGCAATGCGCGGTCAGCGGTACAGGGTGTACAGGGAGCGCGGCGCAGTGCGAGGCGTGGCTTCGCCACTTGCGCATTCGCAACTGATGAACAACAGGCAAACCGCTTGAAATAGATCTGCAACCACCAGGTAAAGCCATGGTGCGGCAGAGAGAGAGAGAGAGCTAACGCCATGCAATATGCCCATGCAGGTGGGAACAATAGGTTGCCTAAGCAATGCAACAGAACTGAAGTTGTGGTTGCAGCCAGGTAGGTCGGGTGCAACCGCGATGGTTGGGAAAGCTTGAAACTGGATAGGCGCCCCTCAATGTTCCAATTGCCTTTGTTTTTTGTGAGGATGCCTCAACTCTCCAATAACCTGTGGGCTTTCCATTGCGCCATGAGCAGGCGGCAAGCTTCACCTTTCCTTTCCAGGGCTTTTTGTAAGTCTTTGTGTCAAGCAGCCGCAAGCTTTGGAACAGCCGGCAGAACTGGACAACCACCCATTTAGATCAATCTTCATGCACGCAATGGCTGGTTATTGGCACAGGTATATAGAGATTCTCGTAGAGATTCTCAGTTATTGCTTTGCTGTTGTGTCCTGCATCCAATGCATCAAAGCGATCCTCTCGAGCCAAAAGCCGAATCTTCTCTCCTCACGTCAGATGGCCTCTTGACTCTTTGAGCCGAGGCACTCAAACCTAACAAAGTGTGGCATCAGTTCGGTGGTAGACGGTGGCGCTTGGGATGGCTGCGGCGACTTCCTCTTAAGCTGCGCTGAAGGTAAGGTGACACTTGCGTGAACATCAGGGGCGAGCGGCCAGGGCTGGTCCAGGCAACACGGCTACGCATGCGGCAGTGTGCAAGCGCCAAAAAATGCAGACCAGCTCCCATGAAGAGGCAGCGTTGCATTTGCAAGCCATGCAGGCACAGGAGCGCCTTGAAGTTGGCGAGGCTGGCTCCGAACTGGGAACCCATGGGCAGAGTATTCGCAAGTAAGCAGTGCTGGCAAGGGGTTGCTGCCGGCGCCACGCTACCAGGGGCTGCGCGCACCCAGCGACGATGGAGCCGCTACTGCGAAGACAAAGCAGTTTCTCCGCGGTAGCCGTCTGGAGAGCATGTCGCCCTGTGGCCGCGGTCGATCTGTGAGGGAGGGTCCGCCGCTCTGGCTGGAGCGCTCCATTGGCTGAAAAATCGGCATAAGTTGCTTGAGCTTTGACTCGGTTCTGCCGCGGCCTCCACCTAGCTCAGGCGCAGAAGCGCAGGCGGCAGTGCCCCTCAGTTTGGCCTATCATTGCCCGAGAGGCTGGTGTCCAGTGGACAGAACTTGCCGTTTAACTGTTTGGCGCAGTTTCTTCTCATGCGTTTCTGGCAAAGCCACAATTGCATGCTTTCTTCTTGGCCAAGAGGTTGTAAAATACTGCTTTGCAGTGATGGTGGTTTCCTGCAACGCATCAAGGCGACATTCTCCCACCTCTCTTTTTTACACCCAACCACGGCAGAAGTCTCCCTAATGGCCAAAAAGAGATCCCGCGCCAAGCAATTGATTGCATGGAGCTGCCCGCAATTCGCAAAAGAGCAATTGCAGCATTTTCGCTTTGTAGCTTACAGTAGGACGGCCTTGGTCCAGCATCCTTTTGGCTGAAGCGCTGAGCTCCTCACTTTCTGCAAATGCTGCTGTTGCTGACTTTGCTATCGCACGGTTGCGTCGCAAGGTGCTGAAATTCGAGCGTGGCGGCAACGTCAGCGGCAAGCCACTTGCGGCAGCTGCAGCTGCTTGGCTTGCCTCCCTGCGCAGAAACTCTCTGCGCAGAGTTGCAGCGCTTGTGGCGCCTGCCAGCTTGGATGTGTGTGGTGCTCTCGCGCGTCAGTGCAGGATGCCGTCCCGTCAGAACTGCAAGACCAGAAAGCAACTGGTCAATGGAGTTGATGCTGCAGAGGCCTGTTTCCCTTTCATGAGGCCCAAGTTCAGAAGTCTGAGAAGGAACGCGAACTGGGCATTCTTGAAGGACGACTTGCGCCTGCTCGACGAGGCGTAAACCAACGGCGGCGCACAATCCGCTCCGGAACTTGGCAGGAAAACCATGCTGACCGCACATGTACCGACAGCACCAAATCCCAGTGCTAGCGGCCTTTATTGCTGGCTGAGCGCACGTGGCAGGTCTGGGCGCCGTTCTACACACGTCTCACTTGAGCGTGGCTCGTTGAGCCCACCTGCTGGTCAGAGGTCCAGCGCCAGCCTTGCTGATGGTGGACCCCGTAGGCGTTGCTTGCCCAACCGCTCGCAAGCCGCAAGCTACATGTGAAATTGCTGGAGCGGAATGGTTTCTCTCAACCGGGTACGCAAATATAATGAAGATACACGCTGAATTTCCTGGCGTCATTGTCTGAACGGCAAGTAGATTGGGAGCTGCAGTGGGCCTTTGGCCCGGTGCCTGCGTTCACCAACTGCGAACCAAAGGGCGTGTTTCATGCATTGCCACAATGACGCTTGATTGAGCAATAATTCATTTATTTACGAATCTATCTGTTCTCTGGGCGGGGAGGGTGGGTCCCTCAAAATGCACCACCCCCAACAAAAGGCTCGCCTTGTGACTCCCTGGCGTTTTGAAGGGACCATGTTGCGCCAACCCGCGAGGCGCCTCTGAGCGCTCCGAAGGTGGCAGCAGTGGAGTCCTTGCTGCGGGACCTAGATGCTTGGCGGAACCTGCTCACGCTCCCTGCATTTGGATGGCGCTTTGTTTTTGGAGTCTCCTCCACAAAGCAGTTTTGTATCTTTGAGGTACGGTTGGACAGAAGTCAAAACTACCAACTTTGGGCCTCCAATTCTGGCACCTACCTTTACATTCAGACCTCCGAAAAGCCGGGTCGCCTCCAAGGTTGTCGACAGGCATGATGTCGCGGTTCCGATTTTGGCCGGCGGAAAGGGAAAGCAAAGGGAGACAAACCAGCGTAGGCGTACGAAACGCCCAGCTTTGAAGAATTTGCTGTCGTTTGCTTCTGGTGCAACCTAAAGAAGTTGCATGTTCACTTGGAACTCCCCAGCAAATTGAAAGTTACACATCAGCCCTGCTTACTTTGAATAATCACGAAGGACCCCCCACAAAATCCATCCAAAAGGGAGCTCCCACGGAAAGGGTTCCAACAAAGGGGTGCAGGGTTTGATTCCCAGATTGCTTTGAACTCGATGGTTTTTGCCCTGCTCTTTGTTTGGTTTACCTTTTGATGGTTGAACTTTTTGGAACTCATCCTGGTGTAGACCGCCATGGTGAGCTTCTTCTGATTTTGCGTAAATCAGACTGTTTTGAGACGCTTCCCATGTTGAGGGCTTGGTGGGGGGGGGGTAGCCACATGCACAATTTGCACTGCATGCGGGCTGTGCAGCATGACATGTCTCCGTTGTGCGTCGCGCGGTGGCTTTGCCACAAGCATAGAGCTTGCGCCACCATAGAAGGGAGTGCCGCCTTCGAGGGTGTTCCCAGGATCCACTCGGCCCGCTTTGCGCCATTGGGGGGGAATAGTCACGTACGCGCCCCGCTCATCATGATCAAGACCGTCTTGCGCAAGTCGAACTGTTTGGCGACACTTTCGCAATCACGTACGTGGCCGTTATTAAGATGAGACGCATTTCGCGCTGATGATGTTTGTGAACCCTTGACAGGTGGTTGGGGTAGGCCCTCCGAGGATGTTCTTGGGGATTCGTGCTGTTTTTGGGGAGGGTAAGCTGATTTTTGTTCAGCTTGCGCTGCTGAAGCAGCACTTCCATTTTTTTTGGCGACCTCCTTCAATCAGCTCATTCCATATTTCATGGCTGTGAGTCTTTGATCTGACGTGTTGTTGGGGCAAACCCCCCGGTGTTTTCTTGGGCCTTGGGTAGCTTGACTTATTGCAGGGCTTTCCCCCTGCCCCGCATGGTAGTTCTACCCTACAAGAAGTGGTTGCAGCCTTGGCCTAACTTCTTCAAAACAGCAAAACAGCAAAACAGTGCTTCTTATTTCAGACTTGCGCTGTAGCGGCTACTAGAAGGTTGAATCATATACACCATTCTACACAAACCGCCCGATAAAGGGCACACATGGATACACCTAACAAGGAAAAGGATGGAAAACAACGGGGGCACCACTGGGACTGGGTCTAGCCTTGCGCCTGTTGGCGCAACTAGCCGCCGTCCTCCGCTTTCCGTTCTGAGGAAAGCTGGAGCATGGAGCTTCAGCGTCACTGCGCTGAGGCGACCGCGGAAATCGCTGACCTAACTTGGGGCAGATCTCAAAGTGGCAGACGCCTCTTTTGATGAGCTTTAAATGGATTGTTTTTAGCTGGCTTTACATGGAAACCCAAAGGAAAGGACTTTTAAGGGTCCCTGGTTTGAGAAACACCCATGTGCCATATGGGTGTGTCTTTTTGAGGGTGCCTGTTTTGGGGTTGGTTTGAAGGGAAACCACTGATTTTGAGTGGTCGCGTGTTTAGATATAGTTATACAGGATTACTTTCAACAGTAGGGCACGCCATCACTTTCAATTTGTCTGCATCTCGAACCTTTCTGTGCAGGAAGCCATTGGTTCTTGTGTTGGCACCTTCAGTCGGTGGCTGCCTTTATGTTTGCATGGCGTTGGATCAAAAAAGCACGGCGCAGAAGTTGTCTTCAAGCTCTAGTGCGCAGCTGCTCTAGTTGTTGCGTTTGGCGGAGTCTCAACGGTAATTGTTAAGGCGTTTGGAATGTCTACCATTGGTCTGGATGGACAGCATGGTTCTACAATTGCAATCTGAAACCCACAATGAGCAAGACGCCGAGCGGCTTGGATGATGGCATCGTGTTATCCTTCCAGGACTGGAACGAGTGCATCAACGTGCTGGTGAAATGCCTGCTAGCTGAGCTGAGCGTGGTCGACCGGTGAAAGGCTTTGGCGGTAGGAATGATGCTGCTCGAGTGGCGGAGGTTGAGCCTCCGTCAAAATCCTGCGAGGTCTTGCTGCTTGCTTTTTACGC